TAATACCTTGTCATAGTAGGTATTAAGTATTTATTAGGAGAAATGACATTTGTTTTCTTTATATTTAACTTACATGTTTTACTGTAAATTAACATTTCAGTTTTCCAGTAGGCAAATAAGACATCATTATAGTAGATAATCCTGAACATATTAAAAAAACCTTTAATGGAAAACTACCTATTAATTAATATGTTCTGCTTAACCACTTGGATGACTTAGCACTGAGAAAAATTGAAGGTTTTCCATCATTTACATAAATTCTCTCCCCATGGAAAAGCGATCTTACTAAATAAAGCTACTTAGACGGTTTAAATCTCTAGACAATAAGTAGGAATACCAATAATAGTCCATACATTAAAATTATTTAAAATGTCTTTAAGCAACTGAGAACATGAAGTTCTGTTTTAAATAAGATTTCCTAAGTATCTTGTTTTTTTTTGTCTTACACTTGTCTACTGGAGATATCTGCATTTAGATATTATAGTCTAATGTGGCTTTATCTGCATTTAGATATTATAGTCTAATGTAGCTTTATTTATAACTTAATACTTACATATATGTTTAGAGTTTGTGACCATCTTTTGTGTTTTAATCAAAATTTCAGCTACAATAAACATTTTATTTTTTTGAATATTTTTATTTAAGTGGTTGTACAAAGGACTTGCCATTCACCAAAGCAGTTTATGAATACAGTTGCGTCTTATTCAATGTGTCACCCCTTTCAACATTTTCACCCACAGGCCCTTCCAACCCACCTTCCCTTACTTATCTTATTTTTAGCTGATGTACTTAATTTTTTGCCTCTTAACAAAGCAGTTTATGTGTACAATGCATCTTGACCTGTGTCATCACTTTCAATATCTTCACCCCAAAAATAATTTATATAAGTTGAATCTTACTCAAATTCTCCTTTATGAAGTTTTTGTAATAAGTTTTTTATTGTGAAAATACTGTACAGAGGGGTTACAGTTACATGAGCGAGGTAATGAGTACATTTCTTACCAAGCATTGTTGCTTCCTCCTTTGTTTTTCCCCTACCATCCATCCCTTCCCTCCACAACTCCACTTCCCCCCCGCCTTCCACCCCCGGCCCAAATTGTAAGGTTTGTTTTTTATGAAGTTTTTTGTTGCTAGCAAAAGTAGGAGTCATCAATTCATAGCCGAGAGTCCAAAATTATCTACCCTGTTACCTTTTTTTTTAAATTTAATTTATTAGGACATGTGGTCCCCCTTTATTTCTGTTTTCTGTTGCTACTTTAGCACTTGAATGGCAGAGTTGGCCAGTTAAAGAAATAGTGTGGTCCACAAAGCCTAAAATATTTAATACTTGTTCTTTGTAGAAAAGAAGTAAACTTAACCCTCTAGCAAAAAAATTTATGACTTTCAACTTAGATTGTAAAATTCTGTCATTAGAGTTTGATGTACTTTATTTAACACATCACAGTTTTGTTGGATTTCATTTCCTGTGATGTGATAAAACCCATGGTTGCTAGATTGATCGTTACGTTGTTAAATAGAAGGAGTTGGGCACCAGTGGCCCATGCCAGTAATCCTTGCTACTCAGGAGTCTGAGACCTGAAGATCTTACGTATATTTGGGGAGAGTAATTTTTAGTAAGTAGATTACTAGTGTTGAAGATTTAGTTATCATCTGACCTATATCAGTCCTCACTGTGTTTCAGACTCTACCTAAGAAGCTTTTTGGTGCTCAGGTCTCGTAGACTTTGTTTCATTTGATTGGGAATTTGTTTGTTTATATGCTAAGACCATGTCTCTGCTTCAGATTACTTATCCAAGGAAGCTCTTGCAAAAGCCTGGCTTTTTGCTGGTTGATTTGAAATGGAGGTTCTTAAATACCTGCCCTGGTTTGCTTCAAACAGCAGTACTAATTTCAGCTAGATTTATAGTTGTGAGCTACTGGTGTCTGGCAGCTTTGCTATTTTCAGACAATCATAGGTCCTGTGCACTTAGGGTTAGGGTCTATTGATCTGTCTCACTCATTTTAAAATGAGGTAAATGGATTTCAAAGAGTTGTTGAGTTCTCACAGGACATGTAGCCATTAAATCTTGAGAATGGAGGAGCTGTACCACAACCCAGCACTCTATATTATTTGCATTTCCAATCTAGACTAGTAAGTATTTTAGGCTTTATGTAGGCAGCTTATTAATTTTAAAAGTTTCTGTCTGATAAGCTTCAACCACCATCATTCATTTATTTTTCTGTTTATAGGTAATAGAGGGGGACTAATACAATAAAAGCATTGCCACATTGTGATCAAAAACCTACTAGGATGCTAATGAGATAGCACCTTCAGCTCTTAGGGTTATTGTGTCTTCTGAGCAATAATTAAGGACTTGTTTCCTGATTCCATTAAAAAGATAGTTTAGATTTCAGTTTCCAAGGTGAAAAGACAGTTTAGCGTTTTCTTTATTTTCCTCTGAATGGAATAGACATTTTCAGTATAAAGTTTAGCTCATGTGTGTTTTTTTAAAATACATATATATAGTAAAAATTCAGTTCAAAAGATTTACGTAGAGGATAGGAGGAATTGTTTGGCATTCAAAATTGTATGATGAATTAATATTTGTTCAGTATTTTGATGTTTCCGTGAATAAAATATTTGGATAGTTGACTTATTTGTTAATAACTAAGCTTCTTCTTAATATTCTAGTCAGGGTCTTTGAGTAAAATTCAATTCTCAAATTATCAGCTTTGTAGCTAGGATTGCTCTAGTCCCATCAACTTGACTTCAGGATATTTGGAACTCGTAACTAAATTTTCTGCTTGGAGTGGTGCTGATGGTAATATTGGACTATCTTTGACACTGTTGGTTTGCCAGTTTTCCCTTTGACCTTTTCCAGTTTTGTTCATAGACCATGTCATAAAGGTTTCTTTCATGAGTAAATTTTGAACCCAGGTTCAAGGTGAGTTCAGAATATACTCGAATTCATTCAATCCTTTTTATTTTTCAATGCAGGGTTGTACATATTTTAATAATTGTCTTATGTATCTGGTATTTAATGCTGACAGGATTCCAGTCAATGGAGAGGTTTCATTGCAAGTAGCTGCAGGTGTGTTTCCTGGTAGAGATAAAAGTTTTCAGTGAGAAGACTTTATTTAAAAAGAACATTACATCCTAGTTAATAATGAATATAGATGTTGCTTTTTGTAATAATGGGTTTTTGTGTGCGTGTGTGTTATATTCTTGTGAAGGCAAAATCAACAGATACTAAAACAGAACAACAGAAAGATGCTGAGAACTGTGAAAGTGGTATTTAGTATATGTACTTAAATGATTTAGATGTTATAAAGTGAATAAGCTTTAAAGCATTGCATTGGTATATATGTATTTTATTGTTTTATTTAAAAGTATTCATTTCTGCAGTGTCTTTATTTGGTGCTGCTAAAGATGTCTCCTCAGAAATCTGATCGACTATTTAGCTTTTACATTTTTGGTCTTCCTAGAAAGTATAATTATTTTTTCATTTATCATCAAGCATCTAGTGTACGAAAGGAATTATACTAGAACAGGAATTGGTTTTCAGTATTCTCAAAACAGTTATGATGAAAATATAAACACATTGTAATTTCAGTTTAAGATTAGAGCTCTTAGAAATTACCTAGGTAATGCCTCATTAATGACTACTTTGTCTTGAAATTTTTTTATACTGGAATCTGTTACTCATTTTAAATGTTTGTGAATTGATATTAAATTTTTAATCATTTTTGGTCCGTAACAGTAAGGCTAATTCTCCGTAACGAGGTACAAGACAAATACATTATTTATTTTGCCTTTTCAGCTAGTTATAGTCAGCAGACTGGACCTCAACAACCTCAGCAGTTCCAAGGATATGGCCAACAACCAGCTTCTCAGGCACCGGCACCTGCCTTTTCTGGTCAGCCACAACTGTCTGCCCAAGCACCACAGCAGTACCAGGCGAGCGGTTATCCTCCACAAACTTACACTACCCAAACGTCTCAGCCTACTAACTATACAGTGGCCCCTGCTTCTCAGCCTGGAATGGCTCCAAGTCAACCAGGGGCTTATCAACCAAGGCCAGGTTTTACTACACCTCCTGGGAGTACCATGACCCCTCCTCCAAGTGGGCCTAACCCTTATGCCCGTAATCGTCCCCCCTTTAGTCAGGGCTATACCCAGCCTGGACCTGGTTATCGATAAAAAGGTTCAGCTACACTGATGAATATAGCTGATAGCTAATTGCCTCCCAAAAGACTCCAATACCATTTTATTTTAATTTGTATTGAAGTTCACAAAATTAAAAGGCAGAGCATTTTTTATGATATCATTGTTGCTGTTAATTGAAAGTATAATTTGCTAGAACATGATGAAAGACCAAAATGAAAATTGTTTCCGTCCCCGCTTAAAAATATAGCAACTTCCTAGTTATTTTTGGAACACTATTCTTCAATGTGTGTGAAGTGATTGGCTTTCTAGCTTCTGTGTCCAGAGAATATTAAAATGCTAGGTTGAGGTTTATCATCTTACTTGGCTTTTTACTAATAACGTGATGTACTAAAGTAGAGTTTTCTGAGAAGATGACTAGACATTATGTATAAAATGTAACATTGATAGGCTAATAAAGGTGATTGAATCCATTAGTGGTCTTTTGATATTTTATATTCAAGAAAAAGTAATGTTTTACTGGTATTTGGTCTTAAAATGAGATAAAAACATTTTAACTTGCAGATTTCTGTTCAGAGAAACATGGTGCCATTTAGTCCTGACTTTGTGATTTTTTTTTCTTATGGAGATAAAGGTATATTTTCATACTGCTGAACAGTCAGAAATAAAAGGCTCAACTCTTAAAAAAAACAACCAAAACACATTTCTTTATTGCAAAGTTTATACTTGTTTGAAAAATACAACATGTAGCACTGATAAGACTGAGGCACGTTGAAAGGTAAGCATAGGGAAAGGTTCTTTCCAAAAAGAAGGTAACAGGATAATCACGTCTACCTCCCCAGGGATCTTTTTTTTAAATGAAAATTAATCTGGTTTTTATTATAGCTCTGTTGAGTAGAAACAAAAACACCTTTATTCATACAGACTTTAAGTAATGTATAAATATATCTCAGGTATTTTGTAAGATGGTATAGATCTCATTCTGAATTATCTTTTCGTGTTCAGACTTCACATTCTTTCATACAGCTTGATTAGAATAAAAACTAACATGAAGACAACTGCTTAAAGGTATAGTTTGACAAAGTATCTTTAGACGTTAGAAAATTTATAAGAGGAAAACCAAAATACGCCTTTTGAAAGTAAGTATACCAAATCCTCAACAGTTTTTAGCTGAAATAAACTTTACTGATTCAAATACATTTTTTTCAATAATACAGAGAGCTTATGGAAATAATCTATTAGCATGAATATATAGTTATTTAAATTTCAATATTTTTAACAACAGCTGAACATGATTGAGTTTAAATATATGTGAACATTAGAACCTTTTTCTACCAGATGTATATGCTGAAGATAATTTGCTCCAATAAGTTAGAGATTTATGAGATTAACTCATCAACAAAAGTGTACACATCAATAAAAGTAAATATTTTTAAGTATATAACTTGATGTTAATTTTGTTATAAAAGTATCTCAAAAACATTACAACAATGTGATAAATAATATACAAATGATCTCTTAAAATACCATGAATAGGGAGCCAGCTTCCCTAAAAATGTTATTCTGATAGTGTCAATGTCTTGCTTTCATAAACTGACTTTATAAAACCTGATAAATATTCTCAGCAATCTTTTCTAATAAACATCTAATATTGCTATTAGGTTGCAGAGTTTTATCCATAGTAAACAAAATAGCTTTGAATGAATCCGACAAATACAGTATTTTCAATGATCCTCCCCCCCCACACTCCCAATAATGAATCAGAAGTACTTTGGAGTATGATTGTAGCATCTACCATTTTCCAGGAATTGTGGTCCCACATTCATACCATTGGACGTAGTTGATTTGGGTGTGCCCACCTATTTCTCCAAACTGGACAGGTTCTTGTCGAACTGCTCTGAAATAGCCTGAGAGGGGAAATAGGTTAGTTTTAATGGCTGCTACATTAGTTTTTGCCTTGACTGCTTAATGTGTGAAGATTACTGTGAGTGAAGCAAATGATTTAAAACTTAAGAAGAAAGATTGGTGTCTTTCCTAGCTATTTCAAATCCTAGGATGTGGAAAATTACTAACAATTCCCTTAGCAAATGAGGGTAGGATGCTTGGTCGTGTCTGGAAACAGTTCTAGTTTGTCCATTAATGTCTTCACAAATCTTACTGAGTCTTTTATTGCTTTTTCTAAGTGATTATGAACAAAATCTAAAGGCCTGGCTCAGTGTTTAGCACCTGCCTAACAAGTGAGTCCCTGAGCTCAAACCATAGTACCACCAAAAAAAAAAAAAAGTTACTCCCAAGCTTAGTAAAATAATTGTAGTACTTAAAGAACCTTCTGGTGTTCCTGAGTAACCAGGACAGTTACTCTCTAATACACTGCTACACAAGGATTCAATTTTCACCGTTTTTCCAGCTTTGTGCTGATGTGTTGAATATTGTGGAGATTATTCTTTCAGTAGATTGTTTTATTTTAATTGCATGTATACAGTTAGAAATAATAGTATGCCTTTCACGTATGGTGATAATACATTTTTTAAAAATGTTACGAGAATTTAAAAAACTGCAGGTATGCTCAGGATAACAAAACCCATAAAGGTTGTGCATAATTGGTTTAAGTTTAGGAAAGTCTTGATTTTTAAAAAAAATTACTTTTCTTACTATCTTTAAGTAGTTTAGTTGTACAGTGAAGGTAAAATTTCACTAAACAGTTTATGAATACTATGCATCTTTTTTTTTTTTGTCACTGTCCCTGAGCTCTCCAGCTCAAAGCAAGCACTCTATCACTTGAACCACAGCACCATTTCTGCTTTTCTAGTGGTTAATTGGAGATAAGCGTCTCATGGACTTTCCTACCCGGACTGGCTTTGAACCGTGATCCTCAAATCTCCTCCTGAGTAGATAGGATTGCAGCGTGAGCCACCAGTGCCCGCCAATACAATGCATCTTGATCAGTGTTACCCCCTTCCAGCCCCTTTTAGCCCACCTCTTCCCTTTTCTTAATTTTGCGGTGAATTCTGGACTGCATTCTTAACCCCCTTCTCTTCATTTGTCTACCCTCTCTCCTTGACCTCAGCCCCCCTCTTGCATGTACCCATTTCCTAGAAAGACTGACTTTTTATAGCTAGTTTTACAAATATTTTCTTAGAGTACGTACGTGTGTGTGTGTGTGTGTGTGTGTGATTTTCCTGGGTTCTAAGTATGAGTTAAGAAACTTTTAGTGAGATATGAAGTAGTCGTTCTATAGAATTCTTGTTGATGGCTTATTTTCACTTGATTTCTAAGTGGAAGGAGGATTAAAAAGCATACCTTCTTTAGTGGGTAACTGGTCAGAAGTGAGTTGCTGTCCTGTACGGCCATCTAAAAATGAGTCTACAAATTGGCAGTGATCCTCTCCATGGCCTCTTTGATCACCTATGTTGTAAAATTTCCCTGAAGAACCAGAAGTTAAAATTAAATGCTGCTTGCTTTGGTGTATAACAGTTCTGAAATTACTTCATCTTTCCTTGTACATTTTCTTTCTTACTCCATAGTTCAAGCCATTAGTGTCTCAACAGAACTAGGGAATAGTTTCCTAGCATTCGTGCTTGCCTTCCCTCCTATAATACTGTTCTCATTTCAGAGATTAGTGATTTTTTTTTTTAACGCAGGTAATGTAAATCTGTGACAATTCTATCAGTCTCCCCGTATACTGACAAACCAATTTTAACGTTCTACGTGAGTTTAGTTTTGTCTGCATGGTCCTCCTTTACTAAATCTCAGCCATACTCATAGAAATGGTCAAGGTGTCTCACCTCAGACCTTTGCCCTTATTTTTTGTGTCCCTCTGAATCCTTTGTCTCTAAACCTTTTGTGGGCATTGGCTTCTCGTAACCTTTTTCTTAGCACAAGTGGTAACTTTTCAGAGAGAACTTCCCTAAAGCTACCCTAATTGTCTTCAAAGTGCCTACATGTAGTTCATATTCAGATGATAGATTTCGATCAATTGATTGATGTTTGTTTCTACCTACTGTGGAGAAGGGAGTTAACTATGAAATAGGAATGTGTTTTTTGTCACCAGCACCTAACCTAGTACCTGGCATATTGTAAATATTCACTGAAATGAGTGGACAAACATCCATCTTTCTGTGCTGGGCCATCCTTACATTTTTTTCTATATGAATATAGAAGAAAAATGCTAAATTTTCAGTTTGGAGCAAGGTTTACAGCACTTCTAGGGATCAGGTTCCTTAGATGGGTATTGTTAGATACAATCATTACCAATAGGATTTTAGTCCTTTGAAGGCTGTGGCAAAATTGAACTTGAATATGCTAGTGTCTGTACATTCAAGTGTGCTGTGGTGGCACTGTTTCAGATTGCATTTTCATTATTTACTCTCAATAATATGTTTTTATGTCCTTTTTTTGCTAGGATGTTAACCGTTTAAGGAACTATACTCAGGAAAACTTGTGTAAGGTCCTGAATCACTCCTTAGGTCTGAAAGTCTTTTTAGAAAAAGCTCTATTTCGGATGAGATCTAGATTTTAAAATACTGGAAAACATTCCTGGAAGGCAAAGGTTTGAAAAAGGACTGATAGCCCCGTTTACCTGTGAGGGAGTCACTCAAATAAATCTTGTATCTGAGAGAGTTGCACAGCTGCACTCCAACAAATTTTTTATACCATGTCCTTTTGACATACTGTTTGCCCTTACATTCGGAATAAGAATCTGAATTAAAGGGCCTTTCAGTCCAGATAGCATCTCTTCCTGCTGTGTAAGGGAAACAGGGTTTGAGATCAGCATCATATATTAGGTTTCCACACAGTTTACAAAAAAACAGGCCACAAAGTTCATTACCAACTTGCTGATGCTTTTTTAAACCCAATGCTAAATATTTGAGCCCAAAATACTATAGTCTTGAGCAAACAGCTCCCACCCCCCAATTAAGTTCCTGTCAATAGCGAGGTAAACCTTTTAGAGCAGTTATGCTTATGTGTGGAACAGCCTTTGCTAAATGTAGACTGTCCTGGAGACACATTTAGGGTTCTTTTGGGCAGCCTACCACTTAATGTAACTAGTTATTAAAAGTGAAAGCAGCACATCTTGGCTTTAATTTACTAATCAGAAAATTTGAACTTGCCTGAGTGAAAAGCAAGTCTCAAAATAATTGATTTGCCTCAGAATACCATAGGCTGTCAATGTTATCAGTGTATTAGGTAAACACTCTCACCTGATGGATCTTCTAAGAAGGCTGAAAAACTTGAAACCATTATTCAAGTACTGCTGTACCTATTTAGTTGAGTCACTGACATGGTTACTTACCAGAAATGGGCTCGCTCACTCGTGGATCAGCTGAGGAGAAACAGCAAATACAACATTAGATCTTTAGGTAAACTCTTAATATTGAGGCATGATGAAAAAGATACAATTAAACCTTACTTGCAAAATGGTACAGTTTTGGTAAAGATTGAATTTGGAAGTTCATTATATGTTCAAAGTAGGTCTTGCATAATCTGCCAGGTACTCTATACTATATCTTGCATGTGGTTTGAGTAGGAATGAGTGGTGGCTGCTGTTCAGTTTCAAAAGCTTCTGTTTCATATAAAAGTAATTCATGGTTGTGGAGAAAGAGGAACCCTATTACACTGCTGGTGGGAATGTACACTTATACAACCACTTTGGAAAGCAGTCTGGAGGGTCCTTAGAAAGCTAAAGATTGACCTCCCTTACGACCCAGTCATACCACTTCTAGGCATCTACCCTGAACAACAGGAACCGATATACAAGGACACGTGCACCTCCATGTTTATTGCAGCACTGTTCGCAATAGCTAGGATATGGAAACAACCTAGGTGCCCCAGCACAGATGAATGGATCCAAAAATTGTGGTATCTATACACAATGGAATATTATGCAGCCATTAGAAATGACAAAATAATGGCATTTGCAGGGAAATGGATGGAGCTAGAAGGAATCATGTTGAGCGAGGTAAGCCAAGAACGAAGAGACAAACGGTACATGGTCTCCCTCATAAGTGGATGCTAAATCCAAAAGGTTAGGTGATACGACAAAACTAACAGGACTTAAGGAACAAAGAACTCCCGCTCATCTGGTTGAACCACTACTAAATATCCTCATGCTGTTGATCACAAATATGGTATATAACATGTGAACACTGTTATATATTACAGACTGTGGTAGACAATTTGCTCCAGGGAAGTTAGAATGAACTTGTGACTTTGAAATTATGTAATCATTTAATCACAATCAAAAAAAAAAAAAAAAAAAGTAATTCATGGTAGATAAGCCATGAGGATGGCACTTTTTTTTTATTGTGAAAATACTGTACAGAGGGGTTACAATTACATGGGCATGGCTCACTTCTGTTGGTATAACACTTCTGAAAATACCAATCTATAAATACATGTACATTGTGCTAATGCGTTGGAGCTTGGAATGCCTAGAAAATTGCAAAAAATGGAAGTGGTGCTGTGGCTTAAGTGGTAGAGTGCTATCCTTGAGCTGAAGAGATGAGGGACAGCGCCCAGGCCCAGAGTTCAAGCCCCATGACTGACCAATAAATAAATAAATAAATAAATAAGTGAATAAAGCTATTTAGCCTATTCACATTTAAAGAAAAAAATTGCAAAAATCTTACTTTGATTTTCCTTTTTTGATCTATGTACTAATACTTTAGGCATACAGACAGGCATTTATTCACTAGATTTTTGACTACAGATTAACCCTACAGGTTATTTTTATTGCTAAGTTTTTTTTAACATCAGGATAAATGAAAAGTGGCCATCAGGGTACCTTAATGAATTAGATTTTTTTTTTGTCTTTTTTTTTCTTCATCTTAATTCAAGCAAGTCTGGGTTTGGCTTCCTATGCAACACAGTATTCCATTACATGTGTACACCCTTATGTTTGGGAATTACTGGTGTGGTTACCTGATTCTGTACTGAATGCCACCGTATTGCTGGCTGGGCCTTCACCAAGTGGGTTTTTGGGCTTCACTTGGAATTCATAACTGTGTGGGGAGAAATAAAGATCATTTAATATATTCCTGAAGGAAGTGGGAAGCAACATCCTCTTGTTTGTCATCCTGCCTGGTTCTACTTGGGTCTCGATGACAGGAGGTCATGTGTTTGGGAAGCACGTTTTACTTTCTAAACATCTAGTGTATGAGGAAAAAATTTTTAAAGGATGGTTATCTTTTCAAAGTACAAAATTTGTAGAAATAATATGGCAATGGACAACTTATAGGAAAGACGTATGTGGTGGACACAAGCTAATTCCAGCAACGAGGAGCCTCCCTTCAGATGTTGAGTGAAAAGTTCCTTTACTTCTAATCAGCGCAACCCTGAGTATTAGGTAATGCTCTCCAGTATGGTATTTGAACTACCTATCTCTGAACCACAGACTGGGTTAGCAGTAGAAGTTTCTTGTCACAACTTTGCTGCAGAATCTGAAGTGATCCAATGCCACTGGTATTTGAGAATAACTAGACTAAGTTATGGGGATAGCTATTCATGAAACAGTTTTTTTGCAAGACTAGATGTATACCCTGAGTATCAGGTCTGTTGTAGATCACAGGAAGCTACAGAGGCCAGAAGAGTAGTCTGGGCATGTCCTGTGAGCACTAACACAACGATAGAAACAAATCTCCCTCAATACATCAGTTTAATACTGGCCAGGCCCTTAACTATATGTATATGTGTGAGTGTGATGTGTGTGGGCGCTAGTACTGGGGCTTGAACTTGGGACCAGAGGCTGTTCCTTTTTTGCTCAAGGCTGGCACTCTACCACTTGAACCACACCTCCTCGTCTAGCTTTTTTGCTGGTTAATTGGAGACAAGAGTCGACCGGGCTTTTCTGCCCGTGCCGGCTTTTGACTGTACTCCTCAGATTGCAGCATCTTGAACAGCTGAGTAGGATTGCAGTCATGAGCAGTCAGCAGCTGGTTTAACTACGTATGTTAAAAACAAAAAACAAGGGGCTAGGAAGGTGGCTCCGTGGTAGAGTGCTTGCCTTGCATGCATAAGGCCCTGGGTTCGATTCCTCAGCACCACATAAGCAGAGAAAGCCGGAAGTGGGGCTGAGGCTCAAGTGGTAGAGCGCTAGCCTTGAGCTGAAGAGCTGAAGGACAGCACCCAGGCCCAGAGTTCAGGCCCCTCGACTGACAAAAAAAAAAAAAAACACACAGATCCTGACTAATTTTATTTCTTTTGGGTCCGGTCATGGGGTCTGAACTTTTGGGCCTGGGCGCTGTCCCTCAGCTCTTTTAGCTCAAGGCTAGCGCTCTACCACTTGAGCCACAGCACCACTTCCAGCTTTTTTCTTTTTGCTTATGTGGTGCTGGGGAATCGAACCCAGGGCCTCGAGCATGCAAGGCAAGCGCTCTACCACTGGGCCACCTCCCCAGCCCCTGACTAATTTTATATCTATCCTTGAGAACTACTCATTAAACTGTTAGTATTTGACTAGTTTTACTAAAATTCATAAACAGAACAAATTCTCAAGAAACTCATCGAGGAATTTACTGTATGACTAAAATTGAATTCCTTTCACTAGTAGACTTAGTAATAAAACCACTGAAGTTATAATAAAACTCAAGTCATCTGGTGGTTTTGTGTAAGAATGGGATCAGTGCAAGGGTTTTTTTGTTTTTGTTTGTTTGTTTTGTTTTTGTTTTTGTTCGGTTGTGGGGTCTGAACTCTGGGCCTGGGTGCTGTCCCTCAGCTCTTCACCTCAAGGCTAGAACTCTATCATGTACAAGGTTTTTGAAAGATAAATTATTTACATTCTTTGAGAAGTTTGCAATTAGAAAAAGTGAGAACACAAAGAAGTGCAAAGCAGAAGAATGAGAGTTCTTAATTTGGAGTAGATGGTACCAAAATATACAACTATTTGGTGTTCAAGGAGTCAGTTAAATTAAAATCTAGTATAAGATGACATTGCTGTGCTGTAACAATGGAAAACACTTTTTTAAAGTATCATGTATGTCCAATGCAGTAATCATTTCATATACATTAAAAAAATAGAAAATACAGACCCCAGGAGATATTCTAATGTTTAACTGAGAACAATGGATCACAACTGTACTATCATTTATTGTCTTTGCTTTTTCAAGCTTTAAAACTTTGTGTAATGGGTGTTTATCTTCATAAATTTAATGAGTGAATACCAATGAAAGCATTTTCTAAACTGGATAATTAAGATGCTACATCATCCTAATAAATTTATCCTAAGAAATCACCAATATAAAAATACTTATTTATCTAAATCACATATACATGGGATGTTTCACATGGAATATTTTCTAGATACTAGCTTCTTCCTAAGGCAAATGGCCTAAAAACTAAAGTCAATGATTCACACTTGAAAATCAACATCACTTGCCTGTGTGTGCACAGCTACACAACTTCACCAAACTGGTGAACTGAAAATGGAAAGGGGAAAAGTCACAGACATCTGGAGGGTGAGTCAAGTAGAACTGCATTCCACATGCATTCCGGAGCATTGCCAACAGCCTGAGCACATGCCGGATCTGATGGCTGGAATCATCTTATGTCTTTTCAGTTATTCACACTTCAGTTCCATTTGCAGCATGGCCACAAATATTCATAAGTTTGCATTCGGAAAACAAGTTAATAATAGAAAAGAACTACTTTTGTAGTAGTGAGTTTTAAAGCTGTACTAGTCTGTTTTGTGTTACTATTTCAAAACTTGAGGTAGGCTGCTTGTGGAAGAATAAGGTCTAAGGGCTACATTTGGTGATGATTTTCTTGCTGGCAGAGTTCTGGGGTGTAGAGCATTACATGGGAAGAGACATAGTGTGTATGTGTGACTGTCTGCCCTATTTACAAAGCTGCTGGTAGTCAGTCATGGGGACTCCACCCTAATAAACTATCTAATACGGATTATGTTCTAAAGGCTCTACCTATAAATACTCTATCTAATTCATTTGGGGGTTAAACTCTAGCCTGAGTTTGCAGGGGTGAGCCATAGTGAAAATCATGTACATCTTTCTGATAAAAGCGATTTTTAAAAAAGCTATCTATCAGATCTAGACAAATTGGATCCTTGTTTCTCATCCTGTACTAAAATCAGTTCAAAGTGAATCAAAGACCTTAATGTAAGACCCAAAACATGGAAATTACTATGAAAGCCAAGGGAAAACTTTGGAAGAGATAGGCAACAACTTTCTGAATAAGATTCCCAATGCTCAGTGAATAAGATCAACAATTGACAAATAGAATGACATCAAATTAAAGCTTCTTCACATTGTGTTTGGAGCTGGTGACTCTTGCCTGTAACCCTAGCTACTCAGGACACTGAGCCATGGGCAAGAAAACTGAGCAAGGCAAGAGATGCTAAGTTCACACACACACACACACACACACACACCCCACAACGCACTAAATACACATCAACAAAATGTCCAAAATTGAAAAAGAACACAGAACAAGAGAAAAATCTGATCAAGCAGTTCATTGGACAAATACTCTATGTCCTCAGAATTTATAGAGTTAAAAAACACCAAAATAATCCAATTAATAAATAACTGAACAGTGCTCAGAAGTACAAATGACTAAACATACCAGGAAATGTTCAACATCCTTAGCTGTAAAGGATGTGCAAATCAAACCAACACTGATATTCTGTCGCACCCAGTCAGAATGGCAATCATCAAAGGAACAAATGCTGGTGAGGACTGAGTGGGGAGTTGGGGTGGGGAAGAATGTTAATCCAGCCAGTTTAAAAATCAGTATGGAAATTCTTCAAGAAACTAAAAATAGAACTACCGTATGATCCTGCCATACCACATTTGGACATATATTCAAAGGAATATAAATCAACATACAAGAGAGATACTTGCACACCCATGTTTATAACAGCACTGTTTACAATAGGCAAGACATGGAACAAGCCTAGGTGCCAACCAACCAATGACTAGATACATATATAGGTTGGAACCACTAAGAAGGATGGAATTATGTCATTTGCAGGAAAATGGAAATGGAGATTATCATGTTAAGGGAAATAAGCCAAGCTCAGAAAGACAAATACTGTGTTTTCACTCATACTTGGAATCTAGACCCATAAAATATATGACATGATTGTAAAATAGGGGTTTGGGGAGGCAAGGAAATCACTAAGAGGAAGGGGAGGGTAGTGAGATGAATAAGATAGAAATACCTATGTGAAATTCACTAAAATGGGGGAGGGAAGGATTTGATCCAATTACGTTATACATGTTATAAATGCCACAATGAAGCCCTATATACTAAGAAAATTCTTAAAAGTCATTTAAAATGAATGTCTGGAGTTTAGTCCAGATGATGACTCTAGTTAAATTTTGGGGCCTCATTGAAGATAAGCCAGAGAGATTACACCCCTCTCCCAGAATGCTATGCTGGTTAGGTGTGGACCCCAGCAGATGCAATCTTCTCACACATCTCTACCATGAGGTGGCCATCCCAACTTACCAAGAAAATTAACCTTTCCAGGCTTTTCCACGTACATAAAAATGAGTGTAATCATACTATTTGTATGGAGAGTGTTTTTTAAATTCACAAGCATATAAAAATAATTGAGTTTTCATGAGGGATTAAATGAGATAATGCTTGTAAAATCAAGGTGCCTACTACATAGGAATTATAAATATTTGCTAGTGTTATATGGCTACAGGATTAAAAAAAATAACCCTCTGTTACTGAATTTGCCAAAGAACTCAACAGAATTCTTCGATGTCAATTTACTTGCATTTTAGTTGATTGTACTAAACACATAGCCAATTACTGGGAGTATTAAAAATTCTGTGGCTGATTTTTCCTTACTATGTAAGGGGAAAAAAGGTAAGATTTCATTGAAGAGCTTAGAAAGCTCTGAAGCATTATCTTAAGGGAGAAGGATAATAAAGCAGAGGGAAGAGTTTTAAATCATAGTCTGAGAACAAATATGAAAATTAGCATAAGAATATATCAGTTCACTGAAAAGTGAAGATCAAAAATGTGATTTGTGATTCAAGAAAACGAATGTCCATCCACTGGGATGAGCAGACCTCGGGCTGATTACTTAACCATGTAAGAGGAGTAAGCCTCAAGGGGAACCTGCAGGTCTCCATAGAGCAGACCCTTCTTCCATGTCTACCCACTTTGTCCTTCTCTTCCACATTTCCCTTCTCAGTATTTTTACCCCAAATACAGAACAAATGTATAGGCGTGAATTGATTGAATAGATGATATACTGTCTAATATAATCTTGAAGTATTTGAGCCCTATTCAGATGGAACTTTCTGATACAAGGAAAGAAACGTGGAATAAGAAAAGCACACACAAACAAAATAGCATAAGGGTTACCCAAAAAGATGAAAAAGAAGTATGGTTAATCAGAGTACGTGAGCTCATCTCCAAGGATACAAAAAGATTATAGTATGCCTTCCTAACACCTGCTACAAGTACTGTTTGTGCAGATTTGGGAATACGTGCAAGAAGCAAGAGGACAGATGAGCAAATACTGATCACAAAACAAGCCATACCAGGGAGAGAGCCTGTAGGGTGGCATACCTCGAGAATCCTAGCTACTCTTAGGAAGCCAAATCAGGAGGATCATGAATTTGAGGTCAGCCTAGACAACATTCCCAGATACTGTTGCAAGGGAAAAAAAAGTTGGAGACAGAAGAGAGAAAAAGGATTGAACAGCTACGTGAATGAGCTGTGTGTTATACTGTAATGGATCTTTCCATTTCTTGAGTCCTCCATTTTGAAAGGAGAATAGAAATTCTGAAGTTAGGCTGCATTTCTAACGCTCTAGTGCTGTCCTGACTTTCTTTTACCCCCTCCCTAGACACAAAAGAATTTAAACAAAATGTTATACAAACAGATGGTGATATGAGAGAAAGAATAGTTCTCTTTATAGACTTGTGAATTCCATGCTTTTAGAGAACTGTTCTTTTGCCTGATAAAAAGTTGCTAAGCTGAACAATCAACCTCTCTTCTTTAACAAGGAAGGGCTTGCTCTTTTGCTCCCCACACCTATAATCATATAAATAAAATGCCTGATGCTTTGGCAAGCTTATTTTACTTCTTTCTACAAAGTCTATGGGAAAGAGATGTTAAAAAGTTGGTAAAGAATATGCAGAGAACAGAATTTCACAGCAATACTCTGAAAGGGGCATAATGGTGATTCCACATGTCTGTTTCATTCAGCCAGATTTGCCGTTTATTTGCTGTCTCTGTTCCAGCCAACTTTCAGTGCCAACATTTTATTAAATCCAACACTATAACCAAGAGTACCAAACCATCATTGCTGCCCCTTTGGTAGGTTTTGGTCTTAGAGGAAGATCTGTTCTCCAAAATCATCATGAGCCAACAGAGGTCAATGAGAGTACGTAAGCAGATTGAGTTGATTTATCTTTAGTTGCCAGACAGGGTACTTTTTCCATAGGAAGTTGTTGGACCACATGTAAGTCTGGCACATTGAACAGGTTCTTCAGTTTTTCAGTAAAGTAAGAGACAAGTAGGCTCATTGGAACAGACAAGTGATATTAGAGGGACTTTTTAGTGTGCAGCGATCATGTGTGTTGCTCCCACTTTTTGCCAACCAGGAAGAAAGTGGCCCATCAACACATTATCAAAATGTGTGCTAAAACAAAATCATCTGAAAACCGATTACAGACTACAGATAGGCAGTCAAAAGCAATTTATGGAGTCAGTTTCACTACAGGCTCACCTAAGTTTTAGTTTTCAGTTCTGGTTTTCTCACTGACCTACATTGTTTTGGCTATCAGACTTAGAGGAGACTTGGAGATCGGCTAAGGCACTTTCTGTCTCGAGAAGCACTGGTATACAAGATGAGTCACTTAAGACATTCTCTATTAGTTTCTCTATTTGCAGGACTGAGAATTATCTGTGGTTTTACAAGGTGGTTTGTTCTCGCATAAGAGGTTCTTCTAATATTTTTTCTTTTAGCTCAACAAGAACCATACATTGCCTGAAGAGAAAGACCTTTTCCCAGAAAACTTGGCCTAATTTCCCCCAACTTTGTGAAATGCCTTCTCTTTGAGTTGTCACACCCCTTCAATGAGTCTGTGAGATGGCTCAGCACTTTATGTAAAACACTTGGCTACTAACTGCCTCTCCACTTGCAGTGAGCTCAAGGGCAGGCACTATGTTGGTTCACATTTGTAATTGCATTGAGCATGCTCCTGAGCACTTATGAAGTGATGGTACAACTGTTAGCTGAGTTGAAACACAACCTTTTACAAACACATTGGGCTTAAATTGTCACTAGAATGACTGTGTTCTGCATTTTGACAATGAATAATAGGTACCCTGTCAGAAGTTTTAAGGATAGCTTAATTTAGAAAAAAAGAACACAATGTACATTTACAAATTGGATATCTTTCCATTTCAAATATTGTACTGCAAAAGGTCACTTTTTACTAAGTGGATAAAAAAGTAGGTAAATGACAAGAAAAGCCACCTCAGTCTTATAAGCCCAAAGCTATCTATTTAAAATGTCAAATTAAATGATATTTTTCCTTAAAATATATTTCTGCAAACATTGTCTTTCTCTTTGTTTTCTCTATCAAAAGAACCAGTATTAGCTTTAGCTAAAATATATGCTTATCTTGGATAATTAAAAAAATTAACAGCTAAAAAATTTCCATCTTACAGCTCAAAAGAGACTTTTAGAAACCGCATTTTGGGAAGAAATAGTATTTTTTCAGTAGAAGATGAAAATTTATTACAGCAAACCATCTACTATAAATTAGATGTTTATTTTCCTTTAGAAAGACTGGGAAAAAAATCTCTCTATTACTGGAGCCCAAATAGGCTGTCCTGAGATTCACTGTTAGTACCTAATTCAGTTCAGACAGTAGATGACAATGAGAGTTATTATAAGAGAGGAATTCTATGGGGAAAATCCTTTAGGAACTTTTCTACTATAGTATTAGCAATGTTTTAGGATTTTACTTTTCTTTTGGAAATAAAGTAAACTGATGAAATGTTAAGCATTTAGAATTTAAAAGAAACCACAAAACCATACAATAATATGAATACCTTGGTATCAGTATAAAAGTTATTTATTATGAAACAGTGATAAAAAAATGCAACTCCTTCATCACAACTCAGTTCTCATTTTATCAGTGATATAAAGTCTCCAGAACAAAACACCAACAAAAATAATAAACTGTCTATCAGGGACTAGCATGTAGCTGTTTTAAATCTTAAAAACTTGCCCTTACATTTTGTTGCATTGTTTCTGTCTCCTTACCCTGCCCTTCCCAGCAGGAGAGCCAGATTCTTTGGTGTTTCAAATCTAGTTTGCGTCATGCATACATACTCCAGTCATGTCTGGCCTGGAGACCTTCTTCTCCAAGTTTTGATATTTAACATCCACATTTGATGTCAATGACCTTCTATTTTTTATATTGCCAGCTATATTGTTCACTTATAAGGTCATCTTATTGGCCCGTTTATGCCCAATAACTTGTATATTTTCAAAGTGTGGCTCCAGAGGCATCCGGTGTTGTGCCATAGAAAGCCAGAGTGAAATGGAAGCTAGATCCTCTGGTAAGGCAGAGAAGATGATATGAGGAGTTTTGCACTGAGAGTGCAATTCACAATTCACCTAGAATAGCACTGGGGCTTACCTTGTATCTGGTTTCAGATTTTCTACTGTGGAGAAGGTTTGATTTGTAAGTTGAATGGATTTGTTCTTCCCACTGAATGATCCATTTTCTCTGGATATAACTTCATATTCTGAAAAGCAGGGGGAAAAAACCCAGATATTTCTCTTCATATTACAGCTGACTTAATTGTTCTTGAAACTGATAATATACTAAAGCCCCTGACGTAAATGTGAGTAGTGTAAATTGCCATTTGAGAGACACCTTGATCTTATACATTAGCAATTAGGAAATTGCTAATGTATAAGACAGATTGGAAACTGGAACTTACCAGATGAAAAGGGTCCCAAAAGCATTAAGGAAATGGTCTATTTCCTATTTCTGCTTTCCTTGTATCAGAGCAGGGGAAGGGGAAGTAACTGGTGATGAGATTATCTTGTGGTTACTTTGGAGGGAGAACCTGAGTTTCTTTTGTGTGTCTGCTGGTGGGAACCTAGTTTTATGAAAGTCTTCATAGTGTAAAGAGTGTGCTTGAGCAAAAGCTATGATCAGTAGAAGCTATGTTATTATAAAGCCTCTAAGGGTCACTATAATAGTTGGGGAAAGGGCCAAGTTTGTATGTAGTGCTGCTGCAAATAATTTCTTTCAGTTTAAAGCCACATCAGTAAGTAGCAGTCAACTAAATAAACTATTGCTTCCTGATTATGTTAATTTATATCATTCCTTTATATTAAATAAAATATCTGCCTAAATTTTACTTTCAGGCATATTCCTGTGAACTTGTTCATCCAAAAATAGCTACTTTAGAAATAAGAGAATATAATGTACAGGTTTGTTTTGGTTTGTTCTGCTCTCAGTTTGGGCTTTATATGACAAGATGGTAGACGGGACTGAAAAACTAAAAACAAACACCAGCACTGCACTCAAAAATCAGCTTCAGTAACATAAAGAAATGCATGGGAGCTGGGGGTCAGATAAGGGGAAATGAGCCTACAGGACTGGCAAGTTTCTACTATTGTACCAAGATCCAAGAGAGAAGTTGAATATTAAAATAAAAGCAAAAGTAGAATTAGTCAAGCAGACCTAAGGTCTTGCATTTTAAATTCTTGGAGGATTTTTAAGAGTTTGTAAAAACCCCAAAAGGAGAATGATTTTTTTTTTCTGAACAATTTTCTATGATCACCTTTCCAAAAATGCAAAAATAAAATAGAAAACATTGGCCAATATATCTGGTCACCATCAGTACTGCTATTATTCAAGCGGACTCTTTTAAAAATCTCAAACTGCCTACCAGATTTCTCTATTTTAGAAGCATATTTTGGAAGGAAAGGGAAGAAACCTAAATTGAAATAGGTCTGCTTTATATCTTTTCTTAGCAAGGGAATAATTACTAGAAAAAAGATACGTTGAAAGAATTATATGTAAAATGTAAAAAAAAAGTGTAAGTAAAATTGAATTAAAAACAGAACCAGTATATATATATATATATATATATATATATATATATATTAATTTTTTTAATTTATATTTTGGTGCTTTTTGGTGGGCTTAAACTCAGAACCTAGACATTGTCCCTGAGCTTTTTTGCTCCAGGCTAGAGCTCTACTACTTGAGCCACAGCCCCTCTTCTGGCTTAGTTGGAGATAGGCGTCTAGTGGGCTTTCATGCCTGGGCTGGCTTTGGACTGTGATCCTTAGATCTCAGCCTCCTGGGTAGTTAGGATTACAGGCATGAGCTACCTGCACCTGGCTCAGAACCTATATTTTAATGGAAGAGATAAACCAACCCACTGGCTTTGATTTAGTTTCACTTTTTTAAATCTTTAAAATGTCAATGATATCTCTTCTCACAGTAGCTTGTAGGGATTAAATTCAGACATTTAGAAAGCACTTAATAGCATTTTATATGATTTTGCTCAACAGTGGCACTTATATTATTGTTGCTTTTATTTCTCCTATTTCCAACTTCTGCTTTGAAAATAGGATCACAAACCTCTAGTGATTCCAATTGTAGACTTAGGTGCTGTTTAGTCACACACACACACACAAAAACCCACAACAATTTATATGAAACTCTAGTTAATTACGCATAAAAAAAACTCTTCAAAACTACCTCTAGAGTTGGGCACTGGTGGCTCACATCTGTAATCTTAGCTACTCAGGAACCTGAGATCTGAGGCTCGTGGTTCAAAGCCAGGCCAAGCAGGAAGGTCTGTGGGACTCTGATCGATCTTCAATTAACCACCAGAAAACTGGAAGTGGTACTGCGGTTCAAGTGGTAGAGCACTCACCTTGAGCTGAAAAGCTGAGGGACAGCGCCCAGGCCCAGAGTTCAAGCCCCACAAGCGACAAAAAAAACCAAACCAAAACAAAAAACAAAACAAAACTACTTCTGGTTTAAGACATTTCTTTTCAACCATGTAATAACCTTCTTAGTATTAAACACAGATTCTTGATACTGGAAACTTTTAATATATATCTTTTCAAATTTTCATTAAATGCAGTTTTAAAAGTTAAAGATCACCTTGAAAAAGTCAATTTTTGTAAAATGATTCTAGAAGTATCTTTTACATATGAAGACATTTAAAATTCAAAATGTCTGTCACAGTATAGCTCTTAAATACATATTTTTCTTGTGCTTTGAAGTTTATCTTTCATTTTTAGTACAAGTAGGGTCCTTTTATAAGTTCACTGACATGAAAATGCTCTTATTACCAACTTTAATTTTACATTTATGTTACATATCCAAATTTCCTCTTTAACCTTTCTCCAGGAACAAATAATATGAATAGAAATTATTACTATTATTACAAGTTAGCAAACTGAACCTCAAAGAGGCTAATTATGTATCCAAGTTGGATATTAACAACCTAACCAGCCTGGGATTTAAATCTGTGCTATTGGAATATTACATTGAAATATCTGCTATTATTCACATGGGTATATATTAGATGTATTAGATTAGCTAATTCTAGCTTGATTTATTTAACATCTTTAGGGAAAATTAAAATTCACAGGCTATTTGGCTTTAAGGAAACTAAGCCTCAGACTATCATAGGAATTCCTTATTAGGAAAGTATAAGGATTGAGTGTATTAGATATTTTAATACATTATAGATAACCAATACTAAGAGACTGACTGACGTTTAGATATTAGAATAATATTACCAACCAGTATAGTCCCAGGTAAAGAATCAGACCTCTGGGACAAATCCCTAGGAGCAAAGACAGTGACTTCTACTTCTCCCTCCCCGACTCAAAATCAAACTAACTTTGCATGAGAAAGAAAAAACTTACAAAATATGCTAGAGAAAACTGTCCAGGTCACATGGTGACCTGGCTAAGGAGAAGTAAATGCTGTTTTCCCCTTTAGTCACTCAATCTTCCTACTCATTCCTCACTTGATCTACTACTCCTTGTATACTACTGACAGTCTTTTAGTCCCCTTTACTATTCCCTGTATTAGATACATGGCGGAGGCTCATTCCAGGAACCTCAGAGAGTCAGGCAATTGGCTATGCCCTCTAGCTGATTCTGGTTGCTAGTCTTTTATTTCTACCTCTCTTCTGTTTAATCCTTCTGTTCACTGGGTTGAATCAATCTGACACATAAAAAATTCAAAGAATGGCTCACGGGTTCTCATTTTCCACCCTCCTTTTTTTCCTTTTTTTTTTTTTAAGAGGAATTAGGTTGATGGTAGTATAATTTCCTGAGATGAGCAGAAAATGGCTTTGGAATGAAACACCCCACTCTCCAATTCCAATTTCTCTAAAGACAGTTGAAATTTTTAGCCTACTTGAAAGTTTTAAGGTAATGTAGAAGTTGGATTGGTGAATGGAAAAGTAGTTTAAATATCAGATGCAGTGGCAACTCATACATTATCTGTAGTTTTCTTGGTTATGAGAAAAAAAGATATATCTTACAGCTATGAAAAGGAGTACTAAGAGGAGACAGAAGGAGCACAATTTAAGGAAATGTAAGTTAATAGGAACCCCTAACAAAGACAAACACGACCGGCTCCCAACAAAGCTCTGCTAAGATTCAGTCCTCTTCAGATACAGCTTGACTCAGGGTGCCTAATTCAAAAGATCACCAAACCTCTCACCTTAGGAACAGCCCAAGTACCATGATCTTACCAGTGACCGTGTCATTTAATGGTTTTTCCCAATCCAAGATGACAAATGAGGGGCACCCTTCCACAGTGACCACAGTGAGGTTGGTGGGTGGGTTCTGTGGTGGGCTAGTGGCATTTCCCTCCGTGGCTTCCTCCGCAGGGAACCGCTTGATGGAGTCAGTGATGGAGCAAGGCTTGTTGTCAGGCTTTGGGATATATCTCACATGAGGACCTGAGAGAGATCAAGAGACATTTAGCCTTTTTGAAACTAGTAAGGGAAGTGAAGTTGAGCTCAGAGATAATATCTGAAGACATGCAGTCTCTGAGCAGATGATATGATGACATAATAGTTATAAAATTCTGGGCTGGGTCGGTAGCTCAGTGGTAGAGCGCTTGCCTTGCAAGCATGAGGCCCTGGGTTCGATTTCTCAGCACCACATAAGCAAAAAGAAAAAAAGCTGGAAGTGGCGCTGTGGCTCAAGTGGTAGAGCGCTAGTCTTGAGCTGAAGAGCTGAGGGTCAGTGCTCAGGCCCAGAGTTCAGGCCCCACAACCAGACCAAAACAAACCCCCCCCCCCCAAAACTTTATACTAATAAATCTAAGAATTAATGAAGAACTAATTTAAAGAACTCATACTTTAGAAACCATAAACCACTAGAGTCCCCAAGAAACACAAAATACCCTGAATAGAGATATGCTTATTAAAGAAAGTAAATGTATATCTAAGCATCTTCCCACAGAGAGGCCCAGATGGCTTTGCTGGTAAATATTAATAAATATTTAGGGAAGAAGCAATGGGAACTCTAAACAAACTCTTCCAGAAAATTGAAGAGCAGAGGTCAGCATTATTCTGATGGTAAATCTAGACATTATTAGAAAACTACAGAGCAATATCCCTCACCAAGATTATTCTAAATAAAATTTTAACAAATCCAACATTGTATAAAAGGAAACTATATTATTTCTTAGTGGGGGTTATCCCTGTGAATAAAAGTTAATTTACAACTTAAAAACTATGATATACTTTTATCAATTACTTAAACATATTCTATGTTACTAAATAAAAGAATCATCTTAATAAGTGCAAATAAATAAAGCATAATATGGCATTGATTAATGTCAAAAATACTAGGATTGGAACAAAGCATTTTCAACTCAAAGCACTTCTGAAAAACATCTACGTGTAACACTGGACTTAATGGTGAAAGATATTTTCCCATAGGAAATTGAAAAGGACTTTATTTTATTGAACTCTGGGGCTGGGCGCTGTCCCTCAGCTCTTCAGTTCAAGGCAAGCACTCTCCCTCTTGAGCCACAGTGCCACTTCATTTTCTGGTGGTTAACTGGAAATCAGAGTCTCACAGACATTCTGCCCCAGCTGGCTTTGAACTGTGATCCTCAGGTCTCAGCATCCTGAGTAGCTAGGATTACAGGAATGAGCCACCGGCACCCGGCTAGAGGGACTTTATTATCACTATTTTTGTATAATGTTTTACTGGAAGCTCTAATGAGTTTAATCAGATAAGAAAAAAAGCATTCAAGGTGGAAAGAAAGCAAAGCTTTATACTTAGATGACTTAATTCTGTGTGCAGAAAATCCCATGGTCTATAAAACAGCTGCTAGCGGTAACACACATTGCAATGTTTCCAGATACAAAATCACTGTACAAAAATCAATTTGTTTTTCTACATACTAACAATAAACAATTACAAATGGAAATAAAATAATATAATACTTTGTGATTTTTTTGTACTATGAAAACTAGAAAACATTGGTGAGAAATATTTAAAAGATCTAAATAAATGGGAGGTACTAAAAGTCCATAGGTGAGAAGATTCAGTATTTAGCTGTGAATCTTTTCAAGTTGGCTTACAGAATCAATGTAATTTCAATCAAAATCTAAAAAAATTTTTATATAATGATAACAGCTGATTCTAAATTCCATATGATAATGGAAAGGACCCAGAATCACCAAACCACTGCACAGTGTGTATGTAGAATTGTGTTAGGATTTTAAAAGGAGCTAGCCATATGACTGAATGTTTGGATGTCACCTTTCTTTACTTTGTGTTATGATAAGAATAGGTTCTGGGTCACCATTAGTTCTTCACCCTGGGCACTAAAATGAACAACTGTGGGGTAGGGCCTAAGCCAACTCAACAGAGGCCATCTATTTCCTGCTGCTATGAGCAGAAGCACCTCGATAAGCATGTATGGAGCTTAGCACAGCTAGTTAGCTGACCACAATTGTCTTATAGACATGGAAAGTAAATCTTTATTATAGTAGGCTACTGAGATTTTGTAATTGTCACACAACAGTGCCTGACTAATCCACACACCAAAAAATAGTCTCGTCAAAATCAAGATTCAGAGACAAACATACCTTTGAATCTGGGCTTTCCCAGATGATCGGTTTCTCTTGTTGGGCTTGAGCTAAAGTCAGTTGTATTACCTGAGAATGAAAGACAATGTACAATCTGGCAAGAGATAAAGGAAGCTTCATGATATCATGAAAAAAGTAGCAAAAGCTAACGATATTCAATAGTTCTCCCAGTTAAATTTCTTATAGCTTTGATTGCTTTTATTATTATTTATCTTCAGTTACCATTATTGTGCCTTGCTGTAAGGTATTCTGGAATGTAATACAAAATGAATTAGTTATAACAAAATAAGTAATATTTATTACTCCATGAACATATGTGTAATTACTAAGAATAGGTGAGCTAAAAGTAGGGTTGGATAGTTTATACCTTTTCAGGAAACATACTTGGCACTTCAATGTCTGCTAAAGAGTATATTCCATGATAAAGTGTTAAAACTGATTGAATATTTAATATCAGAAGACCATATTAATTATAAAATTGTATAAAACAGAAGATCCAGAATGGAGACTATTTCCTTAATTAAAAATATTTTGTTACCTTTTCGTTTCATGAGAACTGATTAGCATACTCACTAAGCTCTTCTCCAGAGGCAGGAGCTGTTGGCTGCTTTTTATCTATTTCTGGTCTCTCTGAGGGGGTTCCAGTAGGTTTGAGTGTTGCCCTCAGGGGTGGGGAAGTTACTCGGCTTGATGAAATAATTCCTGTAATGTTGATCCAAAGTAGTAAGACTCTACAGCAGTCCTGCCAAGTTTCCTATTTATTTATTCAATAAATGTTTTTGAGTGCTTACCATGTGGCTTGGCACTATCAGCTAGGCTTGGAGAATAAACAAGACCTGGTTCTTGATAGAGATAGATGTGTAAGCCAAGGATATTGAAATATCATAGATATTGTGAAAAGCCAAGATAAGGTCACAGAGGGGACAAGAAAAGGGAGTTTATAGCTATGGGTGAGGAGTAGAGGAATTTCTTCATAGAGGATGTCCCAACGGGGGAAGTAATTAGTAGGTAGGGATGAGAGCTGTGGTATAGTCTGAGGCAAGAGCTCTACATTTCTGGAAATCACATTATGTGTGTGAATCATATGGGTTGGTTTGAGAAAATCAGGGAAAATGGAATACCAAGAACTCTTTTACCAGGGATGTCAGAGTGTATGAGGGGAAGAGAAGAATGCAATCAAATAGGTCTGAACCAATTGGTTCTGTTCTAACCACAGTATGCATCAGGACATAGAATGGAGAAGCACTGCTAAGGTTATTTGGGGAGTTAGGGAAGAGATGAAGGGTGTCTAAGTAGCTACATCTGGGGAAGGTCAGTCTATGGGGAAGTACAACTTGCAACTAGACACAAAGTGAGAAGAGGCCCAAACATAAGACAGATTTCAATCATGATTCACTAGCAAGGCCTGGCCAATCGCCTCAGTATAGTAAATTGTCCTTTTCATAGATGACTTGGAGCTTTAACCAAGTGTGGTTAAAAATAATAGTAGTTTTAAAAGTCAAAAGAAATTTCAATAATAAAACTTCTTAATTCCTGTATTCACATCACCCCAGTGGGTGGGGAGAAGCTCTCAGTCAGTCTCCTGTTATTATCAGTTGTTTTAAGTCATTTTGTTTTCCTGGCCCTTGATTTTGTGAAAATGTGATTCCCAACAAGCAAATGGTACCCCCAAAAGCAAAGCAGAAGTGAATGTGCTTAATTTAAATGACAAAGTGAAAAGCTTAGTTATTTTGTATAATATGGAATTACATAACATGTGCAGTTTGGAAAAATATGGATCAAGCATCCATAGTTGTTCCTCAGTGGTGGTCTTCTTGAAACATCTAGCCATGAATACCAAGGGTCTACTGTAATTTTATCTGAACTACGCCCCTGCATACTTAATACAGGGGCCAGCATGAAGGCTGGTGTCTTGGGGATCTGGGGGCATCATATTTTCCATTCTTCCTTAGCACTTGGCCACATGCAGCATTTCATCCTCCAAAATAATCAATTTGTTGAAGGACCAGAGTCAGCTTCTACCTAGGCTCCAAGCAAACAGATTTCTAAGAAGCAAATGAGCTTAGGTAGAAAGAGATAGTTTCTCTAACCCTACCTTCCAAAAATAAAGCTATGAGTCCTTGAGGCTGTAATTCATAGTGTTGTCTTTGAGGCCAATGAAAGCATGTGTCATGAATGCCTGTGGGTTGGCCATTGCTTGAGTTAATACCCCAAGTGATGGATATACCTGAACTGCCGGGTTTTCCAGTGACATTATTTGGTGGTAAAGGTTTTCTTCGAGGAGGTGTAGGTCTTGGTGGGAGGGGTGGGTGGCGAGCCCCTGGGATTGTAGCTAAGAGAAATTATAGGCAAAACCATCGTATTAATTGCATCAAAGCCATTTTAAAAGTTCTATTCATAATGAGCAGTTAGATGACAGGATAGATTTTGTCAAAAAGTACATAGAATTAATATAATTAGTGTAATATTAATTAGGTATTTATAATTAGGGTAATACTAATATTAACCCAAATTAAAATTGGCTATGAGTATACTCAGAGATGAAGAAGCACATTAACAGATAAAAAACATATTCTATAATTACAGATGAAAACATATAGGTATATTTGTCTGTTGAAAGGATATATAGCATTTTATATTTTCCCATAGACAACATTCATGAACTTCATTATCCTCAAGTATCTTTGGCTTTGAGACAGTGATTTTTTTAATTCCATTTTAACTTTACAATTTAAGCACACAATTTTTCCTTTGTGGAGTGCTTAGTCTGTCATCAATTATGATAAGTAAACAATTTCAGAACATCTCAAATGATTATACCAAAGTAGCCCTGATTAAGAAACAAGAATCAGGAGCCTGTGGAGAAGAGCTCATTAGGAATCCACTACAGCACAAAAAAAGCCTGGCCAAGGAATTTGTATAGGAAGACCCACACTCCCACTCCTCCAACTACTCTCATGGAGTGCTGCCAGCCCAGGGGAAAGGGGCAACTTTCCATAGTTTGCACAAAGGTTGGCAAAGCTAAAGGTGTTTTAAGCAGTCCATCTTAATTCAATATTAAGTCTTACGTTCTGGCTTAAATTTTTATCTTCCATTTACATTGGTTTTAAATAAAATGGTTACTCCAGGTAAATATCTGATAGATTTAAGTAGTCCTCAGGATACTGTGGAGAAAGAGAGATAGAGCAAGAGAGGAAAATGAAGAAAGGAGAGAAAGAAGGAGTAAGGGTGAGTGTGTGAATGTGCTCACTCCAGGAAGGATGGTGGTAGAGATGTTAACACTCGAGTAGGTATTGTTTTTAAAGGTAAACAAGCATACATTTATTTGAAAGTGAACATTTATTTGAAAATGAAAGGATCTTTTGTCTTGCTAGGCCTGGCTTACTTGCACTTGGCATAATTTTTCCAAGTCTTTCCATTTCTTTACAAATGGCATGGTATCATTCTTTCTAATGGATGAGTAAAATTCCATCTATATCTATATCTATATCTATCTACCATGTTTTCTTGACCCATATGAAGGGCATCTGGGCTGATTCCATACAGGGACATGGTGAATAGTGTTACAACAAACATGGTTGTGCTGGTGGCTTTACTGTATCCTGATTTAGAATCTTTTGGATAAATGCCCAGCAGTGGGATTGTTGAATCATAGGGTAGTACTATGTTTAATTTTTTGAGAAACCTCCATACAGCTTTTCAGAGGTTGAATGGGTTTATTCCCACCAAGAGTGTGTTAGGGTTCCCTTTGGCCATATCCACACCAGATTTGTAAATATATAGTGTGGTATGCAAGTGTGTACAAAACTATTAACTGAAATACAGTAGATACAAGGGAGAATTCACACAGCAGCACGATTCTTTAGAAAGCCAAAATCAAAATTCAGCAAAATAAATCACTAGGAAGTGGGTGCTTGAAGGTGGAGGCGGTGGAGTTTGGAGTCAAAGGGAAAGGGGCTAAAAAGGAAAAGGAAAAGAGGGTGAAAATGAAGATAAGAAACCAATGTTTCTCCTACAAAATTAAGAAGAGTGAAGTAAGGTGTGAGTAGGGAAGGGATGGATGAAAATGTTGAAAGGGGTGACATAGATCAAGACATATTGTATTCATAAAATGCTTTGCTAAATGGTAACTCCTTTGTACAACTGCCTAAAGATAATATTAAAAAATACTAGAAGGGAAAAGATAGTGAAAAGAAAGCTGTAAAAGTTAAGTAGTGAAACTCTCCATTGGAGAGGGCCCCAAAGAGGAGTCCCAAAAGAGCAGGTTTCGTAGCATCTGTTAAATGCGAAGATAGTCTGAATTTTTTACTTATTATAAACAGCATACTCTAAACTAGGGATATAAATTTTTTTCAGGAAAAATGTCCTGTTTTAAGTTCTACTCTGTATAATTTATTGTAATCTTTTTTTTTTATATAAGAATAGAACTTGGGGCTGGGAAGGTGGCTCAGTGGTAGAGTGCTTGCCTTGCATGCCTGATGCCCTGGGTTCGATCCCTCAGCACCACATAAGCAAAAAGAAAAAAAGCCGGAAGTGGCGCTGTGGCTCAGGTGGTAGAGTGCTAGCCTTGAGCTGAAGAGCTGAGGGACAGCGCCCAGGCCCAGAGTTCAGGCCCCACGACCGGACCCAAAAAAAAAAAAAATAGAATAGAACTTAAAACAGGGCAATAGCTAGTACTTACAATGAGTAAAAGCACTCATCCACTGAAGCTCATCAGAGCATTATTGAAAATAATTATTGACATTACCTTACTCATGTAACTATAACCCCTCTATACAGTATCTTTACAATAAAAAATTTTGAAAAAAGAAAATAATTACTGAATACTCTGCTAGATGTTCTTGTTAAAATCTCATTTATGTACTGAACGCTTAACATTATCCCAAAGACAATGTTTTGGTATGTTTCTCTACCAATAGGCCTATACTGCTAACACAGTCCTGATGCATTGGGGCCTTGCATACATCATTGATTTTGCTGCCAAACGTAAGCCCACACGTACTGTGCAAGTTTCAGATGTGGGCAGATGAAAGAAGGTTAGCATCTTATTCCTTACCTGGTTTTTTTGTGATGTGAGTAGAGTCTATTGATACATTCTTGACAGTACTTGATGGCTTAGGTGTTTGTTTGATTCCTATAAGCAGAGATATAGAAGGGAATAAATAGCAAAAATGACCTGAATGCCCTTTTTCATAGATATTTGGTAGAGTTGTAGTGGCATTATTTTTGTAATGTGTACATTATTTTTGGTGAGCAGAAGCATTTTGTGCCCATGGTGAATGACCACTTTTTTTCCCCATATTTATGTGTTTTGTGGTTAAAATGTCTCCAGCTTCTCCATGTCCATAAAACATCTTAGAATTCTAGTGCATGTGAATCTATACTTAATGACTTGACTTTAAAGTATCTCTGTTTAGGCCTGTCTATCAGGCTACTAAGGTTACAGACTGAATATTTACATTTTGGATTTGTAAATTAGCCATGGACAAGCCTAAAAACATATTCTTTAAAAAGAAGGTAATCTGAACCTTTGTGTGATATTTTTGTCTTTCAAACACAAATCTGCTAGTTATTACTTAAGCAAAACCTAAATGTCCAGGCTTTGGTTTTTCATAACATTTCTCTCTGTCTGTCTGTCTGTCTCTCTCTCAGTTGTGGGGCCTGAACTCTGGGCCTGGGTGCTGTCCCTCAGCTATTCAGCTCAAGGCTAACCCTCTACCACTTGAGCCACAGCACCATTTCCAGCTTTTTCTGCTTATGTGGTGCTGAGGAATCGAACCCAGGGCCTCATGCACGCAAAGCAGGCTCTCTACCACTGAGCCACCTTCTCAGCCCCTCAGAACTTCTTATGAAAAGAGGAAACTGATGCATGTTTTATCTTAGATATCATTATTCTTATTCTTTTACCTTATAAAATAATCTGTCCTGATGGGACTAGTAGTTTTCATTAAGAAACAACAAAAAAAGAAAATTTAAAGATTAAGGTTAAGATTAAGGTTTACTCTAATAAAATATCAATAGTCTGATAGCCTTCCTAAAATTTGCATATTAAAATGTTTAGTTAATATGATAGTAAAATTTGCATATCAAAATGTTTACTTAATTTGCTAGTTAGTATAATAACAACAACCACAGTGACTACAGCAATGATGACAACAGTGCTTTGAATGCTCACCGTGTTCTTTCAATGTGCAAGCAGATATATTGGCTAAATATGCAACAGATTTTGTTTCCCCAAATGAGACCACATTTTTTCATGAATTGTGAACTTTGTGGATAAACCTATATTGCAATCCCACATTCTCTGCTGTTTGGATAACAAATAACACAAAGTCTTAGAGAATGTTTATAGAGAATCAAATGTTGCTTATTTGTGGTATGAAAAAATGTTTCTGGTGGCAATGGCTGTTTCTATTGTGGCTAACCACAAAGGCATGGTGCAAATGAATGGCTCATTAGTCTTCTTCCTATTCCCTACTGCCAGAGATGCTGGGGTCAGGGATGGTTCATTTGATGGTTCATTTGAATGGCAAATAGGAATGGAAAATAACTTCCATTGCATTTGTGCCATGTGGATGGTTTGATGAGGTTTGATTTCTATTTTTCCAAGGGGGGAATTTGTACTCTAGAAGGTCAGTAGGCTATGTGTACTTTAAATAGACCATGGTTTACAACAATCCTCTAAATATTTGTGCTCTTAATAAAGTATGATGTGTAATTATTAAAGTGATCCAACATTGTCTTCTACTCGATTTGTGCCTTACCTTTGTTGGGTGGGAAATACCATTTTGATTTCACATCTTTGGAAATCCAGTGTAAGACTGATTAAGCAAACTGCTCAAGATCTCAGAGCCAGATTCAGAACAATATATTCCCAGCTCAAAAGCCTTTATCTCAAGGAGGAAGTCCCCTTATCATTTCCTTCTGTCTTCCTTTTTTTTTTTTTTGGTCCTGTCGTGGGGCCTGAACTCTGGGCCTGGGTGCTGTCCCTCAGCTCTTCAGCTCAAGGCTAGCGCTCTACCACTTGAGCCACAGCACCACTTCCAGTTTTTTTCTTTTTTGCTTATGTGGTGCTGAGGAATCGAACCCAAGGCCTCATGCATGCAAGGCAAGCACTCTACTACTGAGCCACCTTCCCCGTTCCTTTGTCTTCCTTATAATAACTAAAAGTGACTACAATCCTAATACTACATTCTGAGCCTCTTCAGTAAGTTGATGGTTCACCAGTATATAAGGGCTAAATGGCCAAGGCCAGAAAATGTGTTATTTAGGTACATGTGTGTGTGACACTCAGAAAGTACTTTCAGATCTTCTGCAAGTCTACCAGGCCACAGGGATGAAGGATCAAAGGGACAAAATCATGGAGTCCTGGAGGGTTTCCAAAGTTCTGCAGGGTACTTGGCAAATAAGGCCAAAGACACCATTTCCCCAGAGCTCTTTTCTCATGGAGAAAGAAACAGGGCTCAGAGATAGAATACTTGCTCAGTATATATGAGGCCCTGGATTTGACCTTCAGGAGATGGGAGACAGGGAGAAAGAGACTGAGAACGACATAGAAACATGTGCAACTAGAGACATACAAACACAGAGACACAAAAAGACAGCAAGGTAGTGCTCATGCGTGAGAAATGGAGCAGAGACAGTGTAGGAAACAAGATGCTTTTTTCTTTCATTTTCTATACAAATAGAGAAAGGGCGTAACATACCACTATGATCCTTAGGTATAAGTACCCAAATTAATAGCTTTTTAGTGGCTACCTAGTTTTTCTCTAGCTTTTGGAAGTAGCTGGAAGCTTATAGTGTGTGAAAGCATTGGGAAGGGTCTTGCATAAGGCAGTCACAGAATTCAGTGAGAAGAGTTGCAACAGGAGACTGAGATGCAGGCCTGTGTAAAGCTCCTGTGTAGAACTCCTGCTGCTCTGAGCAAGAGGGGAAAAGGCCAAAGGCAGCCAAAGGGAGTAGGAGAGGAAAGAAGGAAGCTAGTAAGAAAGATACTGCAGAAAATAGATATTTCAGAACTGGCACCTAGTCAGACAGTCTGGCCCAAGCTAGGACAGAATTCTTCTTCCCTCCAGGCTGGGTTAATTGACATATCTTCTAAAGGACAGAATTAGCTCCGGAAACGCCGAGACCTGAGCCTCGGTGTAATTTCTAACCCCTTTCCACACTGCCATATGGGATTTCTCAAAAAATGTCTCGATTTACATAGTTCACCACTTAGCAATCTCTTGTCCAAAATGAAGTAATGATTTGGGTATTTTTAACCATAGCAACAAAAGCTTTGCAAGCAAACAAATCCTCAAATATATTAGTGGGAATCAATTTTCAAACCTATCAGTGGCTCCATGCCTTGTGACTAAAGGGTCTTTGTGCCCTTGTCCCCAGATGGTGGTACCTGGCTGTAGTTTCAGGGACAATGAGCCAGCAGCCTGGAAGATTTGGTCACAGCCCAGAAAAACACATTCCTTACCCCAAGGAGTCTGGGTAATCTGTGAAGCACACTCCATGTGGGGCCAGTAAAGTGTGGTTTCCCCATTAGTCTGGGGTTCAGATATAATAAAGTCTGCCAAATCACATGCACTGCGATGGTTTCAGAATTACACTTTTTCTATGACATAATAGACCTTGAATAAACGCTGGTTAAATGGGAGAACAGCTCAGCAGTTTCCATCTAAAGGGAGGAACTCAAAGAGCTCATCTAGAATAGGAATCTGCAAACATTTTCTGTATCATCTTGGCTACAACTAATCAACTTAGAAGATTCTATTATGTGAATGCATAAGTTTAAACCAAGGTATCTATATCTATACATCTAGAAACCCTAGAAACCCTAGAAAGGCAGAACTTGTTCTTTTCTTTTCTTCTTTTTTTGTCTGTCTGTCTGTCTGTCATCTGTCTGTCGTCTGTGTGTGTGTGTGTGTGTGTGTGTGTGTGTGTGTGTGTGTGTGTGTGTGTCTGTCTGTCTCTCTCTCTTTGTTTTTAACTCTGGGCCTGGGTACTGTTCCTAAGCTCTTCAGCTCAAGGCCAGCTCTCTGTTGATTTATTGGAGATAGGAGTCTCAAAGACTTTCCTGCTTGGGCTGGCTTTGAACCTCGATCTTCAGATCTCAGCCTCCTGAGTAGCATGAGCCATTGGTGCTCCAGCAGAACTATTTTTTCTAACATTAACACAAAGGAAATGCTATAATGCAAGTATAAGACTTTAAACAATTTGAACCTGCCTCTTTCCCAAAAGATCTGTAAAAAGAGACTTATTTTTAATCTATTCATCTACTGAGGGGCATCTGGGTTGGTTCCATACCTTAGCTATGGTAAATAATGCTGCAATAAACATAGTTGTACTGGTAGCTTTAGTATACCCTTGTCTGTGATCGTTTGGGTAAATGCCCAAAAGTGGTCATAGGGGAGCTCTATGTGGAGTCTTTTGAGGAACCTCCACACTGCTTTCCAAAGTGGTTGAACAAATTTATACCCCCACCAACAATTCAGTAGGATTCCCTTCTGTCAACATCTCCTCCAGCAGCTGTTGTTATTAGAGTTCTTGATTATAGCCATTCTAACTGGGGTGAGGTGGAATCTCAATGTTGTTTTGATTTGCATTTCTTTTATGGCCAGAGAAGTTGAGCATTTGTTCATATTCTATACCTCCATCAGAAAGAATGACATTGCCCCATTTGTTAGGAAATGGGAAGACTTGGAAAAAATTATATTAAGTGAAGTAAGCCAGGCCCAAAGAAATATAGGTCCCATCGTTTCCCTTATTTGCAATAACTAGTATATGTCTAGAACAAGAAAAGGTCAAAAGCTATGTACATATGACCATATAAGATGATGTTAAGTGAAATGAACCCCAACACAGGGACATAAGTGTTTTTTTCTTTCTTGCTGTTGTTTTTTAACGTACTTATAATGCACTATGTGATTTTTTTTTGTTTCTTTTGTATGTTCTTTTCCCGTGGTATAACCCCTGTTTTCCCTGTATTTGATTCCGGTGCCCTGCATCTTGTATATACACTTTTCTAATTTGGGGAGGATAAGGGAAAAGACAAAACGCTTACACAGGGATGCAGTTTGACCACTGTAACCATGAGATGTACAAGACACTATGTTGGAAAGGAACTTTGCAACTTGTGGGGGATAGGGAGGGGAGAGTTGTGGAGGTGGGGAAGGAAGGGGTGGTAGGGGAAGAACAAAGGAGGAGGTAACATTGCTTGATAGAAAATCTACTCATTACCTTACTCATGTAACTGTAACCCCTCTGTACACTATTTTTACAATAAAAATGTATAAAAAAAGAATCTCAAAATGTTACTTTTAGTCATTTTGTTTATGCCAGTCTGAGAAATTACATGTTTTTGTTGTTGTTTTGGTTTTTTTGTCAGTTGTTTGACAGTTGCCTAGGTGTTGTCCCTCTTCAGCTCAAGGCAACCACTCTACTGCTTGATTCACAGCACCACTTCTGGTTTTCTAGTGGTTTATTGGAGATAAGAGTCTCATGGACTTTCCTGCCCAGGCTGGCTTTGAACCATGCTCCTCAGATCTCAGCCTCCTGAGTAGCTAGGATTACAGGTGTGAACTACTGGCGTCCAGCAGAAATTACGTTTTATGTATACATTTAATAAACTATACTTTTCATCCATTTCTACATATGCGAGTACAATGTTGGTACAACTATAATATTTATAGGCTGTCTCATGTTGAAGCATCTTAATTACTACAGATTATTGAATGGAGAAGTTATGTGTTTAAACGTCCATCAAATCAATGTTCTAATTATGAATAATGATGCCTACTCCTATAGACTTATTCAAATTAGGGCTCTGCCATTCATTTTAGCTGAATTGTTTATAAACATTAATATGACTGTAACTATGGTGAATTGTTTCTATGATGATTAAATCTTCTTCATGTTGTTTAAGTTTCACATTCTAGATTGCTATCAGATGCAACCCTTTAAGAAAAGTCTGATAGTACTTGTGCAAATTTATGACTTGAAAACCAAATAATTACAACCTCAAAGGCCAGCCTGTAAATGGAAGGTATGCTGCAGTTAGAGAAAATAGCTACTTAAAAATTGTTATTCATTAGTTTATATTTAATCAAGATTTCTTTTAAGAAGGAATATTGTATTTGGAAGTTGATTTCGTGGACTGGGTTTAGGAAAGTGAAAAGTTATTTTCCAGTGATTTTAAAGCTCTTTGAAGTTTTGATTTCGGAAAGAGTACTAAATTTAATTTCCAACTTCACAAAAATTTCCAGAACTAGTAAAAAAAAAACTTACCATGTGAATTCAACAAAATTACCAAAATTGATGAACATATAATTTTGACAGGATCAAAAAGGAATTAACTTGTGATTATTACCTGTTTTGACTCCATTCCCACTGGGCAGCCCACTGGGTTTGATTCTAATTGGTCTTGTAGTTGTTCTATTCAGAACTACAATAAGAGGAAATAAATAGTTCAGACATTTCTCATGAAAACTTTGCAGCCAAAGGAAGTGACGTTTCTCAGAGAACTGGAAGTCATTTAAGTAGACAATAAAAATAATAGCAGTTGGCCTACCAAAAGTATCATTTAGAATATAGAAATTATATTCTGGTATAAAAACGACAGACTTGAATGTGGGACTAGTGACCTAAATTTGTACTGAGGTAGTCATTATACTTCAATATTTACTTGAAAAAGGTAAAAGACAATTACAGTTCTCAGGGGAAAGATTAATCTTGCTTAATTTGTTAGCTTTAAATACATTCCACAGCAGAATTGAAGAAAAGTCAGGAGTGATTAGGTACATGGTCCAAGGTCATTCTATAACAAAATGTCTCAAGGTTATGGTAGTGCTTGGTTTTCTATGGAGCAGGAAATAATTTGAAAAGTTTCTTCACAGTTCAGTTCTTAAAAGTGGACGTAGGGAAGACTATTATAATGAAAATTCTGTACCTGGGGAATACTACCAAAGGACTACCAACTTCTCAGCAATTAATTGTGACCTTGACAATAAATACATTTTGTAAGTGAGTTTTGTCATTGAAAAAAGCCTTAGAAGAAACCTTAGACTCACACTGAAAAAAGACAGAAAATTTGAGAGCCTTTGGTTCAACTTGTATTTTAGCATATGAGAAATTTCTATAAACCAAATCAACCCTTCCAAGGTAATCTTTACCTAAAGAAGTTTCGCAAAGGAAGATCAGATGACCTTTTAAATAATTTACTAACTCGAGAGTATTTTTCAATATATGATGATAGCAAATGATGATCAAATGAAGTCCTTATATTCAGTGTATAATATGCTAAAATTGAACTATATAACTTGAGGGTAGAGATGGGAAGGGTAAATGTGGAAGAACAATGAAAGAACTGACATTAATCAACAGGCTGTATTTATAATGTGACTTATGGAATTGAAATCTCTTTGTACAACTACTTATAAAATTGTATGTATAATGTTAGCATTATTTTTTCTATCTACCACCTGTAAATATTTTTTCTATCAGTTGAGGCAATCAAGTGGAAATGTTTTCTTGTAAAACAGCCTTCTTACCCTGAGAAGAAAAAAATTTTCTGGTATATTTCTGAGTCAAGCAGAAAAGATCAGATTAAGTTAATGTTAGGGAAATGAACTCTAAGATATGTATTCAAATGTTTTTTTTTTCTTTCAGGTGATTGTTTCCAACACATTTATAAGATTATTTCTTTGTTGCTTTGTATGTCCCTCCCCCATGGTATAACCCTTGCTTTCACTGTATTTGAGGTTGGTATAATTTGTGGAGGGGAATGGAAAAAACAAATCGTGTAAATAGGGATACAGGTGGATCCATTGCAACAATGAGATGTACAAGTCGTTATGTGGAAAAGTGAATTTTACAACTTTGGTGGGGGGTGGAGGAGGATTGGGTGGGGGGGAAGGGAGTGGGTGGGAAGGGGAAACAAAGGAGGAGGCTACAATGCTTGATAAGAAATGCACTCATTATCTTGCCCATGTAATTGTAACTTCTCTGTACAGTATTTTCACAATAAAAAAATAAAAATATAAAAAAATTTTGAAAAGAGAAATAACATTTGAAATTATTGTAAAAAATTGAAGGTTTATGTGATTTATGCATAAATACCATTTAAGAAGAGTTTTGTATTAATAAAGCTCCAGAGTTGTCTCTGAATCTGAACATCATGAAAATTTCTGTCAAGTTCTATCTCTTCCATTAATCAATTAATAGAGGATTAATTAATGATTAATCTACAAGGACAGAATTTCTGCATATCCTTTTGTGTAGCTTAGGGATACATTACTCCTCCACATACCATCGCCACCTTTGACAAATCTGGCTGTTTAAATCCATTTTATATCTATCCTAGCATGCTACTTAGGTGATCAGAGAAAGAGTTTACCAGGTCTGAGGTGTGGTTTGTCAGGTATCCTTGGCCTCCCGGGAATACTATATAATCTGTGTGGTGCTGAAATAGAAGAAATACTTAATATTTAGTAACTAATTTTTTTTTTTTTTTTTGTCAGTCATGGGCTTGAACTCTGGGCCTGCGTGGTGTCCCTCAACTCTTTAGCTCAAGGCAAGCACTCTACCACTAGAGCCACAGCGCCACTTCTGGCTTTTTCTGCGTATGTGGTGCTGAGGAATTGAACCCAGGGCCTCATGCATGCAAGGTAAGCACTCTACCACTGAGCCATCTTCCCAGCCCCTAGTAACTAATTTTTAAAGCCCATTGAATGGAGATTTATCACCTAAGGAGCCACCCATAGCTGGTTCACCTGGCATGGGAGATGACAAAATGTTAGGAAGTCTCCAATTAAGTATTATAGACTTCATGCTAAAAGAATATATGAGAAGCAAAAATATCCACGAATGAAGTAAAAGACACAGGTTGAGTGAGGTCGCTCATTTGTGATGGATTAAGGGCTAATCATCATTTAGTCCATGGTTTTCAAGAGTATTAACTTTACCAGATAGTTGCGTGACATGATAAACAAGTAGTCCATTCATCCATCACCCGTCCATCCATGCACCCATCTCCCCACCCACTCTCTCACCCACATAGCTCAATAATGAGTCCTTGCGCAACACTATTTTGCCAAAGACAAGTAACTGTAAAGGCAAAAAGAAAAGAATGAACATTTGATAGCTAGGAACACCCTTCTCCTCCCCCCCCCACCAAAAAAAAGCATGGTCAATATCAAATTGCCTTTGCTCACAAACTCTGAAATGAACAAATATTCAATGCCTTTCATAATGTTGGATGTAGGAGTGAGTGAAAAGAATGCTTTCTTCACCACCCATCAAGCAAAAATAAGCATGGATAGAGGACTCTAAGACTCACAAGGCAACTCCTAACTCTGTTCCTGCTATCCAAAGCCTGAATACAAATGGCTGAATAGATAAATAAATGATGGTTTTAAGTGGGCACATTTGTGAGATGATACAGAAACATTTTTATTTTCTAAAGTTTTAAAGTGTGCATTCATTCTGGAATTTGTCCATCTACCACTGTGCATGTGTACTCCTCCCTGCGTACCCCATGCTGCCTTCCAATACCAACTTTCTTGTAATATATACCAACTTTCTTGTAATATATTAGCTAACACTGGGAAAACTTTCTTGGAAACTATGTGTGTAGTTCCATCATTTTGATGATTTTTTACATATGCTAAGTGAATCTTTAGCTCATTATAAATTAGCAATGTTTTACCTAACAAGCTAAGAAACAAGCTCCAATATCAGTTCAAAATATCAGGTAGGGGATGGGAGACAAAGAAGGATGGAGGAGGGGGAAGGGAGAAAGAAGGGAAGGAAGGAGGAAGAGGAGGGGAGACGTTAATGGTTCTTTCCTGGCTATCAGATGTGGAAGTGAGGCATGTGAAAGTTAAACATATTAGTTGTCAATATCCAACAGTTTATACTACATTCAGAAGCAAAGCTCCAACTAAAGAACTGGGTACCACTGTTAATGGATAAAATAGAACAGTTCAGATTTGGCCAATATCCTTCACCTTTAAAATAAAAACAATCTAGTGATTTGCTGTGACAAACAAACAAACAACAACAAAAAAACCTAAAAACAAAAGTTGTGTCTTGGCTGGGGAAAAAAAAAACTAAAGAAAAATTACTAGAGATGGGGAAGTAGTATTACCCTGAGTTGTCTTTGCCAGTTCAGTTGTTCGTGGAATCTTAGTTGTGAAGAGTTCTTGGGTGAATTGGTCTGTTTCTTCTGGAGAAAAACATAGCAAGACATCTTGTTTTAAATAATTATCGTTACAGATATTACAGAAAGTAAAAACGAAAAATGAGAAATAATTATTCATGCTCTTTTTGCTCCATGAAATAGGATTTACTACATTATAAATATGTCCCATAACCACAATTCAAAGTTAATGGTACTTTGCAGCGGGGGTGGGGGGGGGGCAGTTTGAGACTGGTCCTTGAACTTGAACTCTGGGCCTGGGCACTGTCCATGAGACTTTTTTCTCAGGGCTAGTGCTCTACCACTTGAGTTATAGTTCCACTTCTGGCTTTTGGGGGGATGCTTAATTATACATAAGAATCTCATGGACTTTCATGTAGAGGTTGGCTTTGAACCTCAGTCCTCAGATCTCAGCCTCCTCAGTAGCTAGGATTACAAATACGAGCCACTGACATCCAGCTCAATGGTACATTTTAATCACTTTTATTTATTATATGTGCTATCTTATTTTAATCTTATTTAACTCTTGGAAGGATTTCCAAAAGCTTTTAGCTCAGGATCATGGTTTTGTGATGTGGCTATCCTTGGATGTAGCTTGTGTATGAAAATCTTTAAAGTGAATGTATTTGTCATCCTATCTCCTCCCTACTCCACAAATTCCACAAATTATGTGCATTGGCTGGAAAAGATATGCCACTGACTGAAACGTAGTCCTGCAGGCATCAGAGAGGATGTGACAAATGAACCAACAAGCACAAGGCGTCTGTTCATTTTTCAGCCATAACTCAGCAAACTGAGGCTTCCTCTGAGGTAAACATGTTTATAGTGAACTCATGCAATGCAAGCCTAGCTCATACCAATCGGCCTTTCTAATACAGCCATCCTTGTTCCGTCATGTAACCTACATTCTGAGTAGATTAGTCATCCCTAGATTACTTGCAATAACCAATACACTATAAATACTTTGTAAGTAGTTGATAATTACATTTCCTAGTGAATAATGATGAGAAAAGTCTATAGCTTATATTCCTTTTTTCAAAAAAATTTTTAATTTAATTTTGCTTGAATCCACAGATGCAACACAGATGTGTCTATAGATAACCGAGGACTGAAAAATTTTTTTTGATCTTAAAAAGTTACATATGGAAAATCATCATATACGGTAGAAGGACAAATATGCAGAATGCAAAAGTTTCTAAAAAGTGGGTACTTTTGTGTAACAGACCTTCTAGTCATAAATACCCCACTTGAACACAATGTACTTAGAACCTCTTTAAGGGCAATCTTTAAAAGGAAAGTCCCTCATTGGATTGATATATCAAAACAAAATTTACCCTGTGTAGTTTGCAGCTCCTCTTGAAAAGGGCTTGGTGAAATGATAGGTACAAAGGGAATGCCTCGTGTCTCTAAAGGAGCTGCAAAAGAAGAGTAGCCAGATTATAAACTTTCCAACTAAAGCCAGAAACAGAAAATAGAAGTAGAAAAGAAAATTAGGTGAGTGATGAAGAAGAAAGTTAAACGTGCACTGAACCTTCAAGAACAAAGACCATGGAACATTAGGATAATGGTTCTCAACTGTGCTTTGACACAGCTCCATGAGAATGCCTGATTAAGATAAGGTGTGGGCTAAGTAAGTCCTAATCCTGATCTATGAGTTATAACTCTTCTCTCTTTATCTCCCACCAAAGAGAGCACAGAGGGCTGCAAAACTGTTAGGATATTTTTTAAGTCTGTTCCAGATTAATTTCACAAGTAAATTGCTGGCAATATTCAGTCCATGTTTTGATCAATATTAATTTCTTGTAGCACATGGTGAGCTCATTATAGGTGGGTGTGTTGTAACGTTACAGCTGAGAACCACTAAGTCAACATGAATTGTTCACTAGATGGGCATTGGGTTAGATGGAATCATGAAGATGAATGAGGTAGCTGAGGGTGCACTCTGTAACTCAGTCTTCAGAGCAAAACCTTCACGGTGGTGAAGCCGTGGCTTGGTTTTCTATTTGTGTAAGATCAATTAGAGAGAGGCTGGAATGATTACATGAATTGAGAAGAGGTAATGTTTCAACCATTAACATTTGAAAAAGACCTGCAATATTGCTGGTTACCCAGGAAATAATTAGAATTGGTCAGTATGGGAGGTCAATTACCTATTGTTGTCTTTGGTGGCTCAATTCTAAAGGTAACAGGTTGCAGAACTATGCCAAAAGCAAAGCAAATAAATATACTGTGAGAATTATTACCAGAGAAATGAAAGTAGTTTCTGTGTTTTCTAGATACATTTATTTAACCACCTAAACATTCTCTAAGAACCACAATAAATAGGAAACGATCCTGCATAACAGATACCACTCAGGGAAGTAATTTAATTAAAACTTTAGAAATCTCATCACTATCATTTTGAGGAAAACTTATGGGAAAGCATCCATTATTTTCTTAAAAGTTCACTAATAGTTGTAGAGTTGGTATATTTATCTTTTGAAAGGATATAAAACAGTTCTCTCAGTAAGTGTTTCATAATTTTAGCATAATATCCTAGTCAATAATCCTATTATATGCCAAGGTAAACTTCAACCAGATTATATAAAATCATAAAAGTTCAGATTATATGATTAAATTTCTTCCACTGACTTACACGTTATATCCATGATATTTTCTGGCCTCTTCCATACCACAGCCATTAAAATATACTTACCACAAGAATATTTTTATACTCTATAACTGTGAAAATAAAATTATTTATTTACCAGGTTCACTCTGAGAGACCTCAAGGTCTGGTTTCTGGGGAAGGAACACATCTTTTGCAACTGAAAGATAAGGATGATAAGATTCTCTAAATGTCACACTTGGAGTGAACTTAATCCAGATACACAATCTCAGAAAGCATGAAGAAAGCAAAGTTATTTCCACATTAGTTAAAGACTGAAGATGAGAAGGATCATCTTTCATTCAAAATGGAAAAATATCACTGTGTAAAGAAAGGTCTGTGACAGTAGACAGATACAAAGTTGGTCATAGTTCACTTTTGAAGTCTCCTTGAAGGGGAAAAAGAAGAAAGGTCTAATTTAATTAAACACAGCAGACAGGTTTTTCTCAGGTGGCTTATGAAAATAAAATCAGTTTTTGCTCAATGTGGTTAGCTACCATTTTAATGCTTATGCTAAAATCTACTGATCACAATAAAAATATTACCTTACTTAATGTTCATAAAAGGCTTACAAATGGATGAAAACAGCAGAAAGAAAGAGAAACATCTTGAATAAATAAGAGGAGGACAGTTTTATTCCAAATGGCACGAGCAGCTTTTTTAGGAAAAAATATAAAGCAAAAAAGGATGGCCAGTCATCACAAGATACCACATGTAAAGTTTACGCTGGCACTTCTCACATTGTACATGTTATAGAAATGCCACCAGTTGCCATTTTGTCTATAGTGATGTAGCTTTCAGTATATCAGAGGTCATGGGTTCTTGTCATATGAGAATATGAGAAAAGACAAAAATGCTTACCTAAACAATAGATTAGCTTATATTTAGTTTCTGATACTTAGAATGTTTTTAATGATACTTTCTTTCTCTACACATAAAATAGAGTGAAAACTCGATAACATTATTTCTTTCACCAATCCTGAGGCTTGAACTCTGGATGCTGTCCTTGAGCTTGTTTGCTTAAGGCTAGCGCTCTACCACTTGAGCTTCCAGCTTCTTTGGTAGCTAACTGGAGATCAGAATCTCACAGACTTTCCTGTCCAGGCTAGCTTCGAACTGTGATCTTCAGATTTCAGCCTCTTGAGGAGACAGGATTATAGTCATAAACTATTGGCACTAGAGATAACAATATTTCTTATTGGGAAAAGCACCAGGACAATTTCTTATTGTTCTCACTAGGTCTTTTTTCCAAATCTCACCCTAAGAGCAGTTTAAAGTGTGTTTTTAACTCAATTCCCTCATAGGGAAGACCTCCTCAGGCCTACTCTTTCACTGAAAGGGTTTTCTACTACACTGAATACATTAAAATGGTTTTCTTGCATTTACACAATGCTAGTAAAAATTAGTAATCGTATAGAATTCCATCTCAGAAGGATGATGAAGAAAAATTCTCCATCATGAGCTAGCCAATAATCGCTTTGCCATTAGTGTGGGAAAAAGTTCTATAAAAATAGACATTCTCTTTTTATTGTTTTGGGGGATAATATAACTTTCATACCATATCTGTTTTTAATGTGGGTCACCAAGTAACTAAATAACAACTAAATTACAGTTGTGGAATTTGGAATGGAATAGAAATGACTCAGCTGTAATTTTTATGAGCTAAATACTAACAATCTAGGGAAATTTGAAAGTGTAGACTTTTAAAAAAATTATGAAATTTCAAAACGATCAGCAGTTCAAAGAGCTAAAGAAAAGCTACAATACTGAACATATCATCTATCTTGTGCAAGGAGTCAAGTGGTAAAATTATGAGCAATTTCCAATTGTAAAGCAAACTAAATGTTTACCTGAAAGGTTGAAGGAGAGGAGACTTTGCTTTTAGCTCTGCAAAGGTCCATGAACAAACAAAGAATTCTGTAGTTTACAAATGCTCTCACTGATTATAGCACTAGACTATACAAACAAGTGCTGGGATTAAGAAAGAAAACGTTGACTGAAGGTGTTCTGCTAATTAATTCATCCTGCTGTATGTAGATTACTTGCTACTATTTGTGCTTATGGAGAAATGTACACCAGAGTAATGTGGAGAACAGATGCTAAAATTGGCACTTTTCTTTTTAGCTGGGAAGTGATGATTTACTAAACTGCCACAGCAGACATCCTACCATAGATGAAAGAATGGAAACAGAAATATTTAAAAAAAGAAATAGGACTCGTAATACTTAAGCCATTGCAGCTCTAAGAAATGCCTTCACTGTCTTGCTTCGCTGCAACTTAGTGCAACAGTGGAATGCATATGACTTAGACAGGAAGTAAAGCATTTACCAGGTGTGGTGTATGACACTTCCGGACTGGATGGCATTTTTGGTTTTGAAGTAGCTCTCTGGGACGCTTTAGGAACTGAAAGAGAGAACTCAGATCATGAGTCATTTGGTTTTGGTAGCTCTGTCATGCTGACCACAGAAGGTATGGCAATAAATAAACTTGAACACTGATAAAAAGTACTGTTGATAATGAAGTTCAAAAGGTGTTCTGGTTAAAGGCTCTAGAAACAGAGCAGTTAGAAATCTGATGAAAATTCTCTCACATTAGGAAAATGAAACATAAAACATTACCATATTTGATGAAGCATCAGAATAGGATAAAACAATTCTCAAAATTTTCATTTAGGATAAGACAGCCTTTAAATTAATGCAAGAGTGATTTTGTTTTCTGGATATATTTATTTGACTTCTCCTTAAACACATTCTCATGTCTTTGATGGATAGTAAAGCAGATAAAGTTGGCAGAGTCAGAGTAGAATCTCCTGAAGCATGTGAAATTTAAAATCATGTCACCAACAACAGAAAGCTACACAGACAATGCACAGGAATGCTGGTTCACTGTATGCATTTCTCCCATTTCACCAGGATATTTACAAATTTGAAGAATCTGAGAATATCATGATTTAATATTCTTTACTACATCCACTATAGTTATAAGCTGTCTAAATAGAAAATTAAAGAGAAGATCGTTATTACTTGTGAACTCAGGAATTTAAAAATCAAACATTTATTGATGTAAAATATTCTTCATTTGTTTCAAAATTTGGATCCTGTTTTCCCCTACTCTGTCAAACATAGATTTGAATTTTTTCACTTAATTTGTAAAGATATTTAAAGTTAAAATAATTCTTAAATGCACAATATCATTCTTGGAAAAAATTAGATGGAAAATGGTGTTGCATTTAATTATTTACTAATAACAAAGAATTATAGTCTAAATGTCTTAACTCCTAGGATTTTCATCTTTAACATCTTAGACTTTTTTTTTTTTTTGGGTCCAGTTGTGGGGCCTGAACTCTGGGCCTGGGCGCTGTCCCTCAGCTCTTCAGCTCAAGGCTAGTGCTCTACCACTTGAGCCACAGCGCCACTTCGGCTTTTTTCTTTTTGCTTATATGGTGCTGAGGAATCGAACTCAGGGCCTCAAGTATGCAAGGCAAGCGCTCTACCACTGAGCCACCTTCCCAGCCCACATCTTAGACTTTTTGATCTTTTCTCTTACATTGCAATAGTCATCAACATTACATGACTCTAAAAAATTCCTTAGTCTATACTGTATATTTAAATAGAAGTTTGAGAGATTCTTCTCATGTGATTTTTTAATCTATACATTTCTAAAGTTATATTTTAAGTTTCCTATTAACAAATATAATATATTTGGGTTGTACATCTAACACCTTGATTGTTTAAGATTTTGGTGTGTTTTTATTCCTATTTTATTTTATTTATTACAAAATCAATAATCATTTTCACATAACTGTTTTATATCTTAATGGTTCAAATGTATTTGTTACTACTTAAATTCTTTAGGGGAGTGTGGCCTTGCAATATTTATACATTTTTTGGGGGGAGGGGTCCGGTCGTGGAGCCTGAACTCTGGGCCTGGGTGCTGTCCCTCAGCTCTTCAGCTCAAGGCTAGCACACTACCACTTGAGCCACAACACCACTTCCGGCTTTTTTCTTTTTTGCTTATGTGGTGCTGAGGAATCAAATCCAGGGCCTCATGCATGTAAGGCAAGCGCTCTACCACTGAGCCACCTTCCCAGCCCCTATTTATACATTTTTATGTATCAGAAAATATTTTCATGGTAAAGATAGCTATTAATTTAAACATAAAAATACATGAAATGAGAAAAATTTTCATATTTAGGTACATATGGGACATATGTACCTAATTCTTTTAATGAATCTTTCTTTAAAGAAAAAAATATTGATAAATGAAATTTCTCAGTTGGGTGTTGGTGGCTCATGTCTAGTTACTCAGAAGGCTGACATCTGAGGATCACAATTTAAAGCCAGCCCTTGCAGGAATGTTTATGGGATGTATCTCCAATTAACTACCAGAAAGTCAGAAGTGGAGCCCTGGCTCAAGTGACAGAATACTGACTTTGAGCAAAAAATTCCAAGACAGCATCCAGACTCCTAAGATAAAACCCAAGGATGAGCACATACACACATACAAATTTCTCTCATTATCTCCTCGCTACTCAAGAGGCTGAGATCTGAGGATTGCGGATCAAAGCCAGCCCATCAGGAAAGTCCATGAGACTCTTATCTCCAATAAATTACCAGAAAACCAGAAGTAGCACTGTGGCTCAAATGGTAGCGTGTGGAGCTTTGAGCTGAAGAGCTAAGGGACAGCAGGAGTCCAAATATCTGGATCCAAGTTAATTTTATTGTTGCTAAATATGTTCCTTTCCCAGCTCATTATATTAGTGAATGTTTGATTCCTAGTGTAGTGGGCTGGTCCACATCAGATATTCTTTGTGAGAAGAACAAATAATAGTGGCCATTTCAATTAGGTGATTGGAAGGTGAAAAGCATTCGGGATAGGGAAAGGGCAGAGGAAAGTCTCAAACTAGAACAGGAAAAGGGAGTAGGCAGGTTACTTTGTGTAAGAAATGCCTTTCTTAACTATCCCTCTCTTAAATAATATAACATTAGCAACATTCTTGTGGAATCAGTTCCTCCACTGATAAGCTTTTTGATCAGGCCTAAAAATAAACCTAATTTTTTTAGGATACCAAACATGACATTTTGTTTGTTTTTGTTGTTCGTGGGGCTTGAACTCTGGTCCTGAGTGCTGTCCCTCAGCTCTATCAGCTCAAGGCTAGCCTCTACCACTTGAGCAACAACGCCATTTCCAGTTTTCTGGTGGTTTATTGGAGATACGAGTCTCATGGACTTTCCTGCCTCGGCTGGCTTTGAACCGCGATCCTCAGATCTCAGCCTCCTGAGTAGCTAGGATTATAGGCGTGAGCTACCGGTGCCCGGCAAAGATGACATATTTTAAGAGGGTTAAAATACAACTGCTATAAATCACAGAAAAACCGCATCAACCTAAAAATTTTAAGGTTAAATCATCAAATACTTATTTACCTGGTTGTGTTTGTGGAAATCTTGGGCGTTGTGGTGTTTGGGGCTGGGGTGGCACATGGGGTGTCTGCCTGGGAGCTAAAAGAGAGACATGAGGTTGGAGCTCTGGAGCCCATCGAATTACAGTATTTGGCCTGTCGAAGGCCAAAGATGTTTGTTGAGAGAACAAAGCCCCAAAACACAGCCAACTGCTATTAAAGCTCCAAAGATCTTACAAAGTAGAGGGAGACAATTTATTTATGCACAAAACAAAACAAAATGCACTTTAAACAACATCCAAGCTATTCAGCTGGAATATTGGAGGAATCATTGGAATTTCAGAAATATTTACTTCAAATTCTCTTTAAATGCATTGAAAACAAATTTCCTAATAACTACAACTCATTCTTATAACAAGTTCATATTATTTCATCAGGTACTATTTTGAATATGTACTTTTTTTTTCCTAAATAGAAAACAAAACCACAGTTATATCCCAAACTTTAAACATATTTTATTAGAAAGTCCTAATGGAAAAAATAATCTTTTTGTACAAAATGCAACATTTATTGGTCTTATTGGGGAAGAAAAATTCAACATCAAAGATACTTTCTTCTGAAGAGTTACTCTTTTGCTGGGATAGCCCTAAAAAAAAATCCAGAACATTCTTTGTGAAAAAAAAAATCATTTCTTTACCAAGAAAAAGTATACCCTGACAAAGGAAAGGAATGATCAGATTCAAGGTTTCAGTTTGTGAGAATCACTGGGCTAAGCTAGAATGTGCTTTGGATAAAAAAAATTGAGAAGGAAGAAAATGGTACCCGCATTATGCAGTGTAAGACACCTTAAGGAAAGCTGGCTGAAAATGTTATTAGATAGTGGAATGTTGATAAAAAACAAAGCATGTCCAATGTCATTAGTTTCAGACACCTTAAGGAAGAAATTGTTGAAAGCAAGAGCTGTTAGACCCATGTTTCTGAGTGAAATGTGTGGTGGCTTCTTCCTGGACCTAAATAAAATATGTATGATATATAGTGGTTAAAGAGGAATCTTCTTGCCTATAGAGAGATAAACAGCAAAACATTTCAGAGGTTCCTTTGCTTATTAATCGCGGTCTATAAACAGGTTTTTCATCAAAAGTTACATGATTTTAAAGACGCTTTTATAAAATTTCAAAGTTCCATCCTTTGAGTATTTCACTGTGCTTCTTTAATTCTCAACCCCCTTGCTTGTGAGGTTTCCAAATGATGTTCTGTTTGCTTATCTAGATCACACCATGTGACACAAAGAAATACCATGAGGTAATTACACACACAAAAAAATTGACCCACAGTAAGGCCCATTGGTGGGAGGCTAAGTACAGTGGCTAAAACCTGTGCTCCTGGATCTAGGAAGTTTGAGGCAGGGGGATCAAGAGTTCAAGGCCAGCCTAGGGCTATATACCAAGACTATTTCAGAAACAAATAACACCTCACTGGTAGCAGTCTGTTTACAATTAAATAGCTCAATAATGGAAATTATTTGGGCTATTGAAGACAAACTTTAGGAAAGTTAGGGGAGACTGATCTTCTATTCCATTCATGTAGGCAATGTAGAATTTTGGAAAAAATAACCACAGAGTTTATAGGTAGCTCTTAACCGATTGTTTCAGAGTATAATGAATGGTAAAATGAATACCCTCCCCAATTCTCTAGAAACATAAACACATAAAAATAGTTTAACGGCAATCAGAATAGAAGTTTGGGCTTCATTGTGATCAGTTTCTATGTTGTGGAAACTGTGCACATTGAGATTATTTTTCATCAGAAGAGGCACATTTAGTTATCTACATGGGATTTATATATATATATATATATATATATATATATAGTAATACATGGTGATTTTAATCAAGTCGATCTCTATGATCACTAAAGTTAATGACTTGGTTTAGTTTTTTCTCACATATATGGGGTGACATGCAGGTCACAGAAGAAGCAGAAAGAAGTAAGATGTCTGAAAGATGGCAGGGGACCGGTCAGTTACACACGTTATATGATTATACAGTGAAATCAGTGTCTAGAATCTTATAGAAATTTTAACCACAAATTGAATACCTTAAAATACTTTTTTACATGTCCATAGAAATTATAAAACTAGCTAGTAGTTAACCAGTAGTTAAAATTAGGGTATATTCACACATATGTACTTACATGCACACACATATAGATACACACACACATAGAAAGTAGAAATGCCCCTCAGAAACATTTCTATTTCCTTTTTCTCTCTCTGTCTCTCCCTTTTCTTTCTTCTTTTTCTTTTTGCCTTTCAGTTTGGCAGAGCTAGTTAGAATTCAGGACTTTGTGTTTGCTAAGTAGGTGCTCTACTGTTGAGCCTCATCTGAGTCCTTGCTTTCCCTATTTTTTAAAATAAGGTCTTGACTCGAGAAACAAAGGACCTCCACTCATCTGGTTGAATCATTACTAAATGACCCCATGCTGCTGACCACATATATGGTATATATGTGCACATCGGAGGGAAACTAGGAGGAGGACACAGAACCAGAGGGAATTAGGGGAAAACATAAAACAGCGGGACCCACAGCTGCACTGGTCATTGATTAAAACAAACTAAGCAACTCAATGGCAGCGATGGGAGGGAGGGAATGAGCGGGAAAGAGAAAACAGCTGACACTAAACAAAAGGAAAGAAATGTATGCATCACTCAATGTGGAAGAAATAACTGTATTGTCAAAGCTCATAGAACACATAAACTTTATAGATCATGATAAAGGCAATTTGCCCCATGAAGGTTAGAATGTATTTGTGACTTAAACTAAGTGTCACTATCCCACAGTACTGTGAAATTTCTGAAATTTATGTAATCACTTAATCACAATAAAAAATTGCTATTAAAAAATAAGGTCTTGATTTTCTTGTCTAAGCTGGCCTGTACTGTGACCCTCCTCCTATTCACATTTCCCCATAGCTGGGATATAGGTGCATACCACTACACTCACCTTGGTTAAATTGGTTGAGGTGGCCTCGTATGCACTTTTTGCCCAAGCTAGTTTCTAACCACAGTACTTCTGATCCCAGTTTCTAAAGTAACTAAGATGTCAGGTGTGAGCCACTGCATCCACCTGTGTGCCTATTTTGCTTTTAACAAAACATTTCCAGAGTAGCTGAGAGGTGTTTTTCAGCATCACACTGAAGAGGATAGACAACATTACCATTTGAGAGATTATTGAGGACAGATGGTGCTACATCAGAAAGACAGGCTGACCCAGCAAACACTGAGGGCAATGAATGAAACCAGGGCTACAGATGTCCAGAAGAGCTCATATTATTACTCTGCAAACACTTACCTCATGAATGAAATACAAAGTAGTGTATTTATCAGGTTTGGTCTGAGCCCATCTGGACTGGGTAGAATTATAGTATGGGAAGGCAAAGGAGGTTCTATGATAGTTGAAGGAAAGTATGTGGGGTTACTACAGTGCTAGCACACCCTGATTACAAACAATAGACAGAACGGCAAAAAATACATAAAATAAAGATAAATGTAAATTTGCAGCAAAACAACATTTCTACAATTTTATGATTCACTTTTTCAAAAAATCCCAAGATTCCAAGTTTGAAAATAATTTTGACATAAACAATACCATGACTTTGAAAGTCTTCACTATATACTAGAATCCTCTTTCCTCAACAATTCTAGAAAATATATTTAGTAGGAAGCAGGGAGGTAAAAAGTAATTTAAACAATACACCACTATCCAGTTAAGAAGCATAGAATTTTGGTAAATGGTGGAGAAAAAAGAATGAGATATGTAAATAAATAACATTATCTGAGTGTTAGTGGAACATATTTTTGCTTCATCAGAATGTAGAAATGGATCACAATTACAACAAAATATTATTTGTAATATTCAACAGACATTCAACTTGCCAGAACGTTCAAAATAGGATGCAAGATACATTTGATTCAACACTCTGCCTGGTAAAAGTACAAAAAAGACCAAGATCTGGACGTAAAGGAGAAGAGACATAGTTGGACGATGATTATGAATAGAAGCACTTAAAATGAAAATGAATCATATGACAAAGCTAGTGTGCAATATGGATCTGCAATGAGAGAGGCTCTGAGCCTTTCAGATGATGGATGCAGCAATGAAGCCAGAAAACATACAGGTTGGATTTCAGAGTTTATCATTACCTAGCATGGTCTCAGGAGGTTCAGACACAAAGGTAATAGATTCCACAACTGGATCAAAACAAAGGAGAACAATTTTAAAAAACTATTAGATATCAAGTTATATCAAGTATTCTTGAATATCAACACATTTCATTCTCAACAATGTATATCATCATTTCAGTGGAATGATGGATCTAGACAGGTTAAAAAAACAGGAAGAAAACTATTTTAGGATGCTAATTTTCCAATTAATTTCATGTTTTAACTGACTTCCAAATGTTATTATGACTCAATATTTAGATACCAACAGAGAAATAAATTTATTTCTGCTTTCAGAGAGTCAATGATCACCTTAACTTTCTTTGATAATCCAAGAACATTGGAAGCAATGGGCCTTTAAGTCTGTCTAATCAAACTGCAGAGCTTAAACATTCATGTTTCCTGATGTGACAAATGCTAATCACAAATGTGCTGGATATGTCAATTGAAGCGTGAAAACCTTTACCACCTTCAGTCTTTGGCTCCCCAGGCCTGGGAGATGATTTGGTAGTAGTATGTACATAGTCTGTTTCAGCTGGTTCTGGGAAAGAAATAGGGAATGATTAGTTAGTGGTGGGTATCCCAAACACACTGTCAGGGAACCCTCTATTTAATTTGAAGACAGGTTAGTTATCCTAAGCAAATATATTCTTGAAGATTATTAATATTGAGGGATATGACAATTTAGTAGGGTAGAAATGAAATTAAGAAATTAAGCCAACGTGATGATGAATGGGAACACACACACACACACACACACACATATCATGATAACTGTCAGAGAACACTGCAATTACTACCTTGAGCAAAGCAGATGATTTCACTTATATGTTTTTGCACAAATATTTTAATAAGAAAAATGAGACATAAAATGAGTCCTTAGGGAAACCCAGAGATGAATCCTATATAAAACAATATGGAAATGAAAAATCAGATGCACATATATGCACACATTCATATATGTGTATGTATCCAAAGAGTGATTAAAGTCTTAAAAGGTTTTCAGTTTCATTCATTGAGAGGCAACTTAATCAGGAAATTGTGAAACTTGCATAGTAATATAGAAGACACTAGCATGAAGTGCTATACACAATGATTCTCAAGACAAGGTGTGAGGAACAGGGGGCTATGAAATGTCACAAAGCATGAAGACATTTGAAGAAGACTTTGCGATGAGATGGAAAAGCACATATGCTTGACTTCCCATTTGGGAAGATTTTTACCTATTGTCTCCTTTGATGACTCAGTGTTAACCGGTTCCAGAATATCAGAAACTAGCAAAAGATATAAAATGATACAACCCGTAAAAGATCAAATAAATCGACAAACTAAGTGTTTAGAAAAGTGCCTTGAACCTACAAAGTGCTCAATATTACCTGTTATGGTAATAACAATACTATTAGTATCAACACAAAGGGAAGTTCTTATAACTGGATTGAATTTACAATTTATTATAACTGTCAAAGGCTAGGATTCATAATAATAATACCTTGTAGCTTCAAGATTAATAGCAAAATGCCATTTTATCTAATTAAAAATACTCAAAAAGATGAAAAGAAATTGCAATCATGTATTACAAATAGAATCTAATAACTTCTCCAAAAATGTCAATGAGCAGCAACACATTCCAATATTGAAAGGGTTTTCAAAGAGCCACAGTTTAAGAGAAATTCAATCTTTACTGAAGTGAGAATTTTTTCCTTTCTTGATGGTCACAATCGAATTAGCACACTTTTCCAATGGAATGGCACAAATTTAGCTTCTACTAGAGAATCACAAATTTTAAATACTGATGAAAATGAGGATAAGGAATATTATCAGTACTAAGCAGTTTTGTTGTTTACATAGTCTTTTTTGTTTACATAGTCTTAATATTCTCTAAAATGATATCAAGCAAACTACTCAATGAAACTAAGCATCTTTATGCAATTGAATAATATAGTTAATATGTATTACTAATTTAACACCACTATACAAGTATAAAAAGAATATCATATAATATTTATAGTTATAAATTGCATATTTCTTTTGAATATATATCTACAAATATGTATGTATAGATACACATATATTTGACAAACTAAGTGTATATATGTGTATATACATATATACATTCAGCAAACTAAGAATATATGTGTATATAAATATGCATGTGTTTGAGAGAGAAAAAGAAACTTTCTTTTGCACAATTACAACTATGACAATTGGAGGATGGCCATGTGTCCCTCTAAAGTTCATTGTGTACCTAGGCAGCTAAAACAATCTATTTACTGGGATGACTGTGTGTGATGTCCAGGCTTGAACCTGGACATCATTGTACTAAAGTAAGAGTAATATTATTGTACTAAAGTAAGAGTTTGTAATTCAAGGGAGGGTCTAAGTTGTGAAAGTAACCATGAATTATTATTTTATAGGTTTAAGGCATGGTTGAAACGAACTGAAATACAAAGACTTTCAATCTCACAAAATTCTAAAGAACCATGAAGAGTGAGCAATATTTAAAGCAGAGCCAATGGACCTCTCAAATTCTAGCGCTCTGCCTGGCCTATGGATAAGAATGCGTTTTTATATTTTTAAGTGACGGGAAAAATGAATAGTATTTCTTTACACATGAAAAATGGTGTAAGTTCAAATAAAGTTTAATGGAAACATAGTCATATCCTGAACCAAATGATACAGGATATAGAATACATATTGGCTTTGGTTGCCTTCCAACTACAACCAAAGAATTAAATAATTTGTCAAGTAATTAAGGCTAAATGACATGCAAAGCCTGAAACTTTTACTTTCTAACCATCATGGTAAAACATTTTTCCAATTCTTGATTTACGCATCTTTCTGGAAAAACAAGAACCTGTTTAGAAACATGTTCTTATGGCCTAGTGTATCTGAATCTTAGTTCCTGAATGATTTCATGGAAAGTAAGAACCTATTAAGAAAATACAATAGAATATCAACAGAAGTACTAGAACTAGTGGGTATATCTACTTATTGATCCAAATCCTATAGTTATTTCAGGACCCAACTCTTCTTTCAGTCCACATTGATCCTTGGTTCCTTTAAATATTTTGTTCTTACCACTCAATTAAACAAGCTGCTCTGATACCAGCAAATTATTCTAAGTTCAGAAAACTATACCTAAGAAAGCTACGGGAACCTATTTTCCTTGTAGTTAGGTTATAATTTGTTGAAGAGGTAAAATGTGCTCTTACTTTTGATTTTTACCTGTTCCTTAGCCTCTTTTACTCACTAACTAATATAGTGCTGAGGACGCATGATTTAGGGAAAACAATTGTTTACTGAAGTCAAAACAGAGTATCATTGAAAAAGAGAGTGAAATGGAATAAGGTGGCTAGATAATTTTGCACACCTTTTCAAAGATAATCCTTATGTAGCGTACAAGATGGATTTAGCTACCATATAGGTGTCTCTCAACTCTGAACCTAATGGCCAAACTTAAAATTATTGAGCTATTATTGTTAGTGCTTTTTCTCCAAAAGGGCAAGGAAGTGGAAAGTTCCAGCCACTTCCTGACCATTCCTGAGGCCAAATTGCAGTGGGGTGGAGAGATATCAAAAGCCAGAAATCATAGATTTTCCTGATTTCAACAGAAAAGCTTCAGGAAGTTTAAAGTTTGAGATGTAGATGTTTTTAAAAGTTTTTATTCATAATATGTACACTTAATTACTTAAAATAGAGTAATAAAGATAGTACATAGTTACCCTAAGGAAGTTCATGAACGTTAACTCTTGAAACTGTACAGATGCAAATATCAACGAGAAGAGAATAAGATGGACCTCAGATTCAACACTCAACCATGTAATACAATTTTAAGAGAGTTCCATGGCAGATAGATATCTTTCATTAGATCTAATGACATCTTTCAGAAGTAGTAGAACGTTGGAATTAAGACTTCCATTTATAAGAAAAAGTAAGAAATGATATGACAGTAGCGGTTATAAGAAACAAGAGCAACTTAGATCACAACAGTTGATGAATTTTAAATGGCAAGAAAAACATTTAATAGAAGTCACAAAAATCATTACCTAATGTTGTTCCTGGAGACTCAGTACTATGAATATCAGGCCCAAAGTCTGGAACAGGAACTAGTTGAAAGTAACAACATGAGCATGAGAAAGCTTTTCTAAGAAAGCCTTCATTTTCTTTCAAAACATCAATTTTATATGATAAACTTTCAAAAGAAAAATTAAAATTGACAAGTAGCAAGTAATTGCTCTTTGAAGAATTGCTGCAATAGCCAGAATGGATCATTGCTGCAGGGAGTCCCAACTTTTGTTGTCTATTCTATATCATAATGCTGTCTTTACAAGTTTTTAACTAGTGATTTGGATATAATTAATAGGGAGGACTGCTTTGGAAATGTATTTAGATAACACACACATATCCACATAGATGAAAGTAAGTTATTCCATTTCTTGAAAGTTGAAAATAAAACCTGTTTATGGAATCATGGCTACAACAAATGGTTGATATATTTCAATGCAGATACAGCAATAAATAAACCTAAGAGATGACTGTCATTCTTGCTAGAAACTAGTCTTTAAATAAAGATCAAGAACTTCACTCAAACCAGGGATCAAGCACATAGTCTTTCCAAGCCCTGGTTTTAGGGACAGCTCTATAGTGGAAGTAACTGTTAATCAAACTTTAATGCCTGACTCTTAGAAACCATGATAACTTACTGCCTCTCATAGCTACTATTTTGGGACCCTCCCACTGGGGGTAGATGGCCAGGGCTCCCCGCAAACCAAGGAGTGGCACATTTACCCGACTTAGACTGAGATACTTCAGTACTTGCTGTGGTTTTAGGTCTAGGACGTGGACGACGTGTTCGTTCTGTTTTAGGAGCTGAAGGAAGAAAGTTTGGATTATTCTAGGATTTCTAAGATAAATTTCATTGCAATTTAAGGCATGGTGTATTTTATAATTAAAATATTTTCCTATCTTCTGCTTTAATCACTGAAGATTCTTGAGGAGACCTCAGTCACATTATAAAATTAAATCAGAGAATGAAAGATATTCATAAATCTCCTCACCAAAAATAAATAAATAAATAGGCCAATAAACAGACAAGCAAAACAAAACAAATCTATAGCCAAATCTGTGTTTAGGTATTAGTTTCACACTAAAAAATTTACATATGCCAAAGATATCATAGTACCTAAAAATTGTTATACTTTAGTCTATTTTTAAAATTAAGGTGTAGATACTACCAACTACATATGAAATTCAACTTTAAATGTAAATGCTACTTAGACAAAAATATATGACACAAATTCAAGTAAGATTATGAAGTAAAATGATACTGTAGTTCCAGGGATAGCTATGATAAACAAAATAACTTCTTTTAAGAATCTGATACGCTTAAGAAGAAGCAACATAAAATTGAATGCGAGCAGATGACAAGAAAATATAAAGCGAATGACAATGTGATTATGATGCTGATGGAATGAGTCTGAAAGTAATCAGGACAAATTGTTGAGGAACATATAATATTACCTAATGTTGTCTCTGCAGCCTTAGTTCTAAGAGTGAAAGGTTCAAGAACTGTTGAAAGAACTGGATAAAAATAAACCAAAGAGAGTTTTAAATATTAAGAGTATTTTTCAAAAATTGTTTTTTTAAGCTTCAGAACTGAAAGGAAAGAGATACTTCCTCAATAGATTTGGTTAACTCATGACCACCATTAATCTTTTTTTCTTTTTTTATTGTGAAAATACTGTACAGAGGGGTTACAATTACATGAACAAGATAATGAGTACATTTCTTATCAAGCATTGTAGCCTCCTCCTTTGTTTCCCCTTCCCACCCCATCCTCCCCCTGCCCTCCCCCAACCCTCATCATGACCACCATTAATCTTATAACATGGACTTGCAGGAGAGCATTGGACAGAGCTAAATGTTACTCGATAATCCATAGATGTTTTTCTACATGTTTGTCACATGATCCTTGCTACAGTGGAAGTCTGTTAGACAGAGTTTTTGCACGTTTATAGACTGCATACTTGTGACTGAAAAAGCTTTGTTAGTCTATTTGCTTTTGCTGAAAAAGCATTTGTTAGTCTATGTGCAGTTCTATTGAAGTTAAGGTAACTTTCAGCTGATTTTGCTACTATATAAATAATTATGAGAACAACAAAAGTTTATATAGTTGACAGTACAAAGAACACTACCAAACTGATGTGCCCATTAAAATCTCAATGTTTTCTTTCACTTAAAAACATCAGGGCTGGGTGTCAGTGGGTGACCCATGCTTATAATCCTAGTTACTCAGGAGGCTGATATCTGAGAATCATGATTTGAAGCCAGCCTGATCAGAAAATCCCATGAGACTTATCTCCAATTAACTACCAAAAAAGCCAGAAGTGGAGCTATGACTAAAGTGGTAGAGCACTAACCTTGATCAAAAAAGCTCAGGGACAGTGTCCAGGCCCTGAAAATCAAGCCACAGGACCAGCACCAAAAGGAAAAAGAGAGATGTGGGGGAGGGGAGGAAGACAGAGACAGAGAGAGACAGAGACAGAACCTAGAGATGCACATGCTTTCCCACCATGATATGATACAGCCAAGGTATGGGAATGGTTAGATCTTCTGTCATACTGTTTGGACTTCTATCTTTCAGAACACACTTAATTTTAATTTTTATTTATTTATTTATTTTTGTCGGCCGTGGGGCTTGAACTCCGGGCCTGGGCGCTGTCCCTCAGCTCTTCAGATCAAGGCGAGCGCTCTACCATTTGAGCTACAGCGCCACTTCCGGTTTTCTGGTGGTTTATTGGAGATAGGAGTCTCACGGTCTTTCCTGCCCGGGCTGGCTTTGAACCGCGATCCTCAGATCTCAGCCTCCTGAGTAGCTAGGATTACAGGCGTGAGCCACCGGCGCCGGCCACACTTAATTTTTAAAGTAAAAAGTTAAACACTACTAAATCTGCTACAGAAGTAGAGTGAGCCATTATGCAAATCTATTGTTTAAATGTTTCAAGTTGGTGCATTTTTAAAAGTTTATATCATAGTCAAATCATGATTCCTTAAAACTACAGACTCACCAATATAGATAGATAGATTATAAGAATCTCTAACTAGCTATAGAGTAGCTATAGATTATTATTATTATTAGCTATAGATTATAGCAAGCTAATTACACTTGATCATCAATACTATAAAGAGCAATATGAGCAGAGAAGCACAATATTTTCACATTTGTTGAAAAACAGAGACAGATGGAAAGCCATGTATGAAACAGAGCTTTTAAGAGTCAGTGCTAAACAAAAAAAGAGTCAGTGCTGTTAAAAACACATGTGTATGATCATATGGCGCAGTGGTGAGCAGTTTTGTGGAGGTTTGATGTCTTGAAATTAGTTCATGCACAGTATTTTTAAATTCAGTGGCAGTATGGTATAGAGTCTAGCATAGTTTCTTGATAAAGACTGTATCAGAATTAGATCTGAGCATGATGGAATGGGTTTAAGATGCAGAAGAACCTGTAGCCCACTACTACAGAGAAAGCTCTATTTGAAGGACACACATTCGTATTACCCACGGTTTCTGGAGCTTCTGTTCTAAGAGCATCAGGTTCAAGATCTGTAGCAGGAACTAATTAAAAGCAATGAAATAAATGGTGGGAAAAATAAGCAAATGAAATCTTTCAAGTATAATATTACTTCAATTTTAAGAAAATTTCTGAAATTCAATACTTGCTAAGGTTTGGTCACTGAATAGTCAGATACACATTCTTTTAAAACTCAGCCACAATTTCATCAATCTAGCAAGTATCTGGAAGTATTTAGAGTTCTTGACTCAAACTATAGAATACTCTCTGAGAAATTTAAACTTTTTTTTTTTACCATGGTATATAACTGCTCTGGATTATTGGCTTTTCTATAGAAATCTTTAAGAAAATTATATGCTTAATGGAGCATGATAATTTTTAAGTTTGAGAGTAGAAATAGAAAAGAATAAAGCAGAGTGAATCATACTCATCTTGTAGAGAACTCAGATTTGGAAATAGCTCATTTGAGATAAAAAAAAAAAAACCCAACTCAACAAAATAGAGTAAGGGCTATCCAGTCAACAATACTCTGCTCTAAATGGAAATGAAAGATCCCCTATACTTTTTGTATGCGTGTGAACACCATTGCTGAGGCTTGAACTCAGGGCAGGGACCTTGAGCTTTTTTGCTCAAAGCTAGTGCTCTATCATTTGAGGCATTGCTCAACTGCCAGCTTTTGTGGTGCTTAATTGGAGAAAAGAGTCTCATGGACTTTCCTGTCCAGGCTGACTTCAAACCACAACCTCAGATCTTAGGCTCCTGAGTAGCTAGGATTACAGGTATGAGCCACCAACACCTGGCCCTTGATGCTTTTAGTTCAGGTCCAGACTTCTTTGAGGATTTCACTATTCTTACAGGCCCTCTAACAACACTACTATCACCACCACTGGGCAGCAGGGTTCTCTTACGCCAGTGAGTGATCTCTGACTCCTGCATGGGTTCTACACTTCCCTACTTTCTGTCTCATTCACCTCTAAGATTTTAAAACCCAACTTGTTTTTCTAACTCTTCTTATTCCTGTCCCTCATAAACTTGGTTTCTTTAAACTTATAGACATTTGTGGCACCTTAAAAATAAGTTTGATTTGCAACACAACCCTGTTTCAATCTAAGTGTATTTCATCCTTGCTAGGTTTTGACCTTGGAAATACAAATTTGACCTGAGAAATACAAATAAGCCTCCTATTGCTGTGTTATTATCACAGATGTCAGGGTGACTGTGGGAAGAGGGAAGGCAATGTATGCTTCTTAAAAGAAAAAAAAGTTTAAGATATTGTGATTTTGCCTTTCAAAGGAGAATGAAATAAAATAAGAACCCTATAAGATGCATAGTAATGCAGACATTGTCCAGAGACTACAAGGAATGCAACTGCCACATATGTTCCACTTGCAACCAGATCAGTGGCATAGTCATATGTCATTCTGAACCTCCACCCATGCAGGCTTGTCACTACCACCCTCAGCATCAATCACAGATTCTCAGAAACTACCAGGCAGCACTCTTTCAACTGAACATCCACATTTACCCAGTTTTGTTTGAGGAGCCTCAGGAGTTGGTGTGGTTTTAGGTTTGGGACGTGGACGACGGGTCCGTTTTGATGTTTTAGGAACTGAGGAAAGAAAGCCTTCAGTTATTACAAAGTCTGTATTTCAAAAGTGATGGCTCTAAGTTTTCTAAAACAGATTTTTTGGTACTTCCAGAATTTTTTTTCAGCTTTTCCCCTATGATACTAGCACCATTGAAAGTTCATTGATGCAAAAATCACACATAAAATGAAATGGTTAATTCAAGTAAGGAAGAGTAATAGAATTCAGAATAAGGAGTATGAAAACTGCTGCTGAAATATCATAACTGTGGGTCAGGTGCATGTTGTTTTTAATACTTGTTAAAATAAGACTACATAATTAACTGACATATTAAAGCACAAAGATCCCATAGATCACAAAAATGATGGATCCCCAAGGAAGCATTTTGGTAACAATTTGTTAGAATCAAGAAAATTCCCTTTTAAAGTTGCCTTAAAAAAAAACTGGTTAAAAACACACAAAAGACAGCAAAACAATTTAGAGGGTTATATGTCCAACAGATGATATGAATTAGCTTCATGCATGAGTCTTTTAAAAATAGGAAGCGACTTCTTTTAAGAACCATATTTTTGGAATGAAGACTAAAAGGGAATGACATTAGAGCATGGTGATGCAGTCTTTTCAAGCAGAAGAATAGGTAGCCATGATATGGATGCAATGATTTTGACAATGGGAACGAAGAAGACTTACTGATGACCGCAATGTGTTATTACCTTGTGTTGTCATCTCAGTCTCAGCGCTGAGTGTCACACGTTCAAGCTCTGCAGTAGGAACTGACCAAAAGTATTAAAAACAAACCACGTGATTTTTGTAAGTAAACGAAAATGCCAATTATTTTATTCAGAATGAATCTTTCTAGTATGATATAACTTTTAGAACTACACAGCCCCTTTTAACAACCATTACATTAGAAAAGTAGGTAGCTGACTTCCTAAAATTTGGTCAGATCTAACTCAGCACCTATTTCCTTACTGCTTATTCTTTGATTATCTGGAGATCCAAAGTGAATTTTGTGGGTACTGCTAAGACTCATCTTTGTAAAATGAGGCCTCAGCTTGATGAACTAAGCAATGAACAAACAAGTCTTCGGAGAAGGAGGAGCTGACTGGTCTCCTTCAGACCAAATCTTCTCTGCTCATTCAAGTTCTTAAAGATTTCCACCAGGGAATTTCTATGGACTCAGTGACATATAGAAAGGCCTTGACTACTCTCAAGAATTCATCATGTATTTGCAAAGATCCTGCCAGTGCTTTTACCTTATTTATAAAGACAACTTTCTGTTCCCAACGCCCTTGGAGGTGTGTGTCAGTAAGATTTAGAAGCTACTGGGCACTTAATAAATATGTTTTGATTTGTACACTCTTTCTAAAGAAGCTATATTTTAAGCCATGAATGAAAGTTTACAAAAACACAATGTCAGGGAAGATTGTACAACGGGAAGCATGACCCACAGATGGCCAACAGTGTGCCTCTCTTAACATCCCTACACTACAGTAAAACTATTGTTGCCCATCTTCACACTCCCACGGGTGTACTGGTTAGTTCTACTCACTGGCATTATACCTGACCCCCAGTGGGTCTAGCTACTGGGACTTTCTCCACCAGGAACATATGGTTTACCTGGTTTGGGCTGAGGTGCTGCTGGAATTGGTGTGGGCTTTGGTCTAGGATGTGGACGACGTGTCCGTTGTATTTTAGGAGCTGAAGGAAGAAATTCTTGAGTTAAACTACATATATATCACCCATAGATCTGGGACCTATGGGAGGTGACAATGTAACTCTAGGGTTTATAGCTTATTATTAGATACTTGGCTTTTTAGTTTTAGATTTTTGTGGTGTATATGCATTATATCTCTGCTTTTATCACAGGAGATTCTTTTAAGATAAAAAAATCACCTTTTAATTTAAGGAATAAAAATTAGGAAATATAATCAAGAGCCCACAGAGCAGCTTGACATGGCTAAATGTGAATGGTAATAAAGGACAGTCTCCTTAAATCTGTGATTTCTGATTTAATCTTTTATACTCTGACTGTTGGATTATAACTCAAAAGGGAAGCATAATGTTGTCTAAAAAGAAACAAAACAATAAAATACTATATAAATGGAAATGAAGGATTAATGTTGTGTTGTGCTCCTCCTGGCCCTGTGAGAGTTAAGCATAGATCTATCTAGATAAAAGAGACACCTGTGAATAAAATTAAATTAAATTAAAAAAAAAAAAGAGACACCTGTGATACTATGAAACTCAGCTTTACCACAGATACAGACACTATTTAAGCAACACACAAAATGACAGGACCCAATTGCAGGTAGGTTACATGAAAGTGACATAAAGCAGTTGTTTTCACAACTGATTCTCTTTACAAACAAATAATTGGAGTTTTCCCCTTTTTAGGAAAATACACTTGAACAGCCACAAAGAATGATGTTGTTGTCACATGAGACAAGATAAAACTCTAGGTTTGACAATAAGCAGAGAGGTTTGTTTACACTAAAGCGCATCAACATTACCTAATGTTGTTGTTGGGGTCTCAGGTCTAAGGGTGACAGGTTCAGGGAATACAGCAGGAACTGACCAGAAACAAAGTAAACCAAAGAGATTTAAAAATGTATAAGAAGTTAGAATATTCACATCCAAATAGCATACCAGTTCTCCTAAAAATGAAAAATAACATACTTCTTAATTGAGGGGAAGAGTATATGTATATGTGTCACAGATTTGTTCAAACTTTTTAGTCCTGGCTAATTTTAAGCTTAGCTTTGAAACTACCCTGAACATCTTAAAGAAGTCAACATAAAATTATCATAGGTTTTCAACAAATGAATTCTAACTGCTATGGAAAACTTGGCACAGGGAAATATTTTAACATATTCTTAGGAAATAAACTGTGCTAAAGATGTAATTGCCTTAAACATGGAAGACAAGGTAATTAGTACTTCTACACTCAAGTTAATTAACATGGGTTTTCAATGAATGAATTCTAATTGCTATGGAAAACTTGACACTAGGAAATACTTTAATATATTGACCTAATATATTCTTCAGAATAAACTTTACTAAAGATATCATTACCTTGGACTTCTCTGTTCAAGATAATTAGTACTTCTATGTTCAAGGAATGATATTCAGTTTAAGTAAAAATGACTGCAATTTGAAGTATATAAGTTTGACACAGATATAAAAGTTAACAATCAAAATGGCCTGTGTTGATTTGCCAACACAGAACATCTATAGAACAACTACAGAAAAACAGCTACAGAATATCTACTGAAAAACATCTAAGACCTTTATCCAAACCAAAGCACAGCATAAAGGTTGATATATGTCTGTAATACCCAGTAGAGAATCTGTCTTCCCTCAGCCCAGAAAACATGGAAGTCAAAGATTTCAAATGTCACTATGCTAGCTAAGTTCATAAGTCAAACTCCGCAAGTCCTCCTTTAACTAACTTGGACTCTTCCAATATCACACCAACACCACGTTCTGATCATCTAGAAGTAGTCCATTAGGACAGAGCTGCCTTACTGCCTTACATGAGGACTGGACTCCATGCATGTGTAGTCTTTCACTTTGGTTTATTCTTCCCTACATTTATCTAAATCTGAAGGCCTAAGGTCAAGTCTAACCAACCCTATCTTCTCCTTTGCTAGTTAATGACTTTATGCTTGTACTATGCAAGTATGTCCTCATAGCTGTCCATCTATAGTATGTCCATCTATAGCTGGCATATCTCCCATGATGAGATGTGGGTCTGGAAATATGTACCCTTATATATTAGGGCTTGTTTATTTGAACAAAATATATTGGCTCTGCTGAAGAAGTTTCACTTCTCATATTTGAATGGAATTCAATATTAAAAATAGACTGAACATAGTGTTTCAAAGAAGATTCTTACATAGAAAGAATCAGTTGGGTCAAACCCAGCCATATTATTCTTGAATACTGGGGCAGGGAGATGTTCTTGACAATGCCTCATGTTTTCAACTCTGGGCCCTACTGACAATGAATTGAATCCTCACTGGGGCAGAATTCCAGGGATTACCCTTAACCCAAGTAATTGCAAATTTACCCGGTTTTGTCTGAGGTGCTTGTGAGCTTGGTGTGGTTTTAGGTCTAGGTCGTGGCCGACGAGTTCTTTGTGGTGTTTCGGTAGCTACAGAAAGAAAAGCCTTGTGTTACTCTAAGTCTTGTGGCTCTGAATACTGAGGGAAGGATTCTCTAAACCTTATCAGATTTTTTAAAGTTTCAGGAAATGATTCTTTTAGTTTTATTGTTTCACTCTTCTAATGCCTACATGTCTCTTGTCATTATTGATGGTGCACAGCTGAATTGCTCATTCAAGCTATGAAGACTACTTCATAGCTTCATAGTGAGAAAGTCATAGCCCTTCCTTATTTTGATAAACAGAATTATTCAGTAGGAATGTTAATGAAGCTGGAGGAAAAGTTGAGACATACTCTAAGGAAGAGGCTTATAATTTATGATTTCAGGATTGAATTATTTCCGGTTGTCAAATCAGTAAGGAAACACACCATTTAAAGTATCGACAAGAAAACAAACATACCATCACAAATTTTTTAAAGATTTTTTTGAGTTCTAGAAACTTAGATGAGCAAAGAAGCATAATAGCTGCTATTGTCAAATAGCCTGTATGAGAAGTGGATCCCAATTTGTTTAAAACTCAGCTTTAACACTGAACAGAAGCACAAGATCATATGGCGATGCTCAATGTGCTACACAGCAGGATAAGGTTTGAACTAAGCTCTTGTTAAAAAAAGAAAAACAAGAGGAAACTTGTTTATCAGAGGCTTCAAGATCTGCTGACAATGGAAGGAATGTAATGGTGGCAGAGGATGATAGCCACCATTTCAAAAAAGCCATGTCATGGGGATGGAGATTTCATAGACTGTATGATGAGCAGTAAAAATACTTAGCATATTTGCACAGGGCTGTTACCTATTTTTGTCCCAGGGGTCTCGGTTCTAAACGGAACAGGTTGAAAGGATGTAACAGGTTGAAGGGCTGTGACAGGTTCTGGAGCTGTAATAGCTGCAAGGTCTGTAACAGGAACTAAAGGAACAAAGTAAGAATTTTTTATAAAAAATGTATAAAGTGAAACGGATCTTATTAGTGCAATGGCAATCTAACACACATATACGCACAAACACATACAGACACATTTCTGAATGAAGGCTATGAGGGGCTGAATTGTATCTCTACAATTCATATGAAGAATCCAAAGTCTTAATATACTCTATTTGGAGATAGACCCTTAAAAGAGGTAACTGAGTTTTAAATGAGCTTTGAAGGCTGAGGCTATGATCTAGTTTGAACAATGCCCTTCTCAGAAGAGGAGGAGACATGACAGATGTGTGCACCCAGATAAAAGATGGAGTGAGGACATTAAGAAGGCTGAAAATCATACTCTTCTGGGGAAGGAAGGAAGGAAATTAAAGTCACCCTTAGGTGGTAGTTACTACTTAAATTTATTAACCTCAATCATATTACTGATATTCACTTAATATTTACTAAAATCTAGTGCCCAATAATAGCAAACATACCCAAGTTTTAAAAAAGGAAGAAACAAAATGGATGAATAAAGAAACTTTTCTATTCTAGCTTGACTTTCATAGGTCAATCAGATACTTCTATAAATATATAAAATACGTCTTAAAGAATTCTGGTCAAACAGAGTGAAAAAAGATCATATGGACCATAAAGCCTGAACTATCTACTCTCCAACATTGTGTACAAACTTCTTTCCAAAGATTACCCTAGATAGTTATAATGGTTTATGTGCCTTTATACTTTCCAAGAAAATAACTCTCATGTATACAAACATATTCGTTCACTATCTGCTTCAGTTTACCACACACATCAAATAGTTGAAGCATGAGTAGAACTGACTAAAAACTAAACACTGAAGATTAATCCACAGAGCACAGGAAATTGACCACCACCTCACCCCACCTCACCCTGTTCTTCAACACCTGGCTGCAGTGGAATCCGCCACGACATCATGTGTACTTTGTTTGTGTGGGCCCCCACAGGGTTAAACTGCTAAGACTTCTTAGCTAGGACATACACATTTACCCAGTTCTATGAGAGATGCTTCAGGATTCCATGTGGTTTTAAGTTTAGGAGGTGGACAATATGGCTGCAGAGGCACTGGAGGCATTAAAGGAAGAAAATCTCAGGCTAATACAATGTTTTGGATTCTAGAAGCAGTAGCTAGGAATCCTACTTATTATTAATTTCTTGAGTTGCAATGTTTTTTCTTTTGGATGTGAAATACTTGACCCTATTTGGATAATGTGCCTCTTTATATCACTAACATTTCTTTGATAAATAAAGCATGAGTTGATAGACCAAGGAAGTTTCAAAGAGATTCTCATATGGATTTCTGAATGAGAAATTTCCAGAATCTTGCTGAACTATGGTGTACACATAGAGGAGAGGATATGGGTCATTTCTTTCTTTCTTTTTTTTTTTTTTTGGTTGGTTGTGAGACTTGAACTCTGGGCCTGGGTGCTGTCCCTCAGTTCTTCAGCTCAAGGCTCACGCTCTACCACTTGAGCCACAGCGCCACTTCCAGTCATTTCATACTCATGGTAATATTTATAAATCCACTTTACTAGTTTTATGCATATTTCTAATTTTATTCCTTACCAAAACATCATTACCTAAAATTGGAAAAAAAACAAAATAAAAGCATTGTAGATAGTCAATGTATAAGAATTTAGATCTACTAAAGAACTGTCTCATCATAACAGCTGCGCCAATCAGCTTAGCCTAAATCAGGCCTGGAACTCAACCCTCCTTCTTATTGACTTTTAGTAAAAAAAAAAAAAAAGAATGTGACTGAAATGTTAGTAAGAAGAGAAATACCAGACACTTAAAGGTATTGCACTGCAAATATATATATATATATATATATATGTATATATACCAAGTTCATGTCTAGATCTCTTAAAGACAAGAAATGGAAGAAATAGTCTTATTCTTCAATATATTATGTAACTGAATTACAGAGGGAGCCGCTGAAGCCTCATGATATGAGAGAAGATATGCTTATGATGGTGATGAAATGGGCAAGAAATGATGGGGCAGATGGAGAGCATCTGTCATTACCTAAGGACGTCCCTGGAGCATCAGTTCTAGGAATAACTGGTTCAAAGACTGTGGCAGGAACTGATCAAAAGAATAAGAAAAAAAACAGACCTTGTGAATGCATGGACTGTCAGAAAATTTATCTTACCAGCACAGACAATTTCTCTTTTTTCTTTTGGTCAGTCATGGAGCTTGAACTCTGGTCCTGGACGCTGGCCCTGAGCTCTCCAGCTCAAGGCAAGCGAGTGCTCTACCACTTGAGCCACAGTGCTTCTTCCATTTTTTGGTAGTTATTGGAGATAAGAGGCTCATGGACTTTTCTGCCCGAGCTGGCCACGATCCTCAGATCTCAACCTCCTGAGTAGCTAAGATTACAGGCATGAGCCATGGGCCCCGGCACAAAGACAGTTTCTAAGGCTGCAAACTTAATTTTTAATATTCTTAACAGAAGGGGAACATAATTTTTCCTTTGAAGATTTCCTTAAAGTTTACAGGTATTCATTTGATTCAGAAGATAATCAATGGTAGACTTTGAACTCTGGTGGACATCTCCCGCTGGTCAACCCTACAATATCACTGTTGATTATTTGATGAACACCTATACACTAGAACACCAATATACTGGAAAATCTAGGGACTTAACAAAAGCAATTGATTTTAATTGTTCACACGGGATCAATATTATTCTGAGCTGATCTTTAAGGCATGAATGGAATCACATAGTGAGAAAAGTACAGCTACTTAAGAGATAGAGGACTGTGGTTCAAAGGTCATGAATCTGAATCCAAAACAATAAGCTGGATGTACATTTTCATTCTATCTATTGAGGTGGCATAAATGTAAGAATTACAGTCCAGGTTTGCAAAAAATGTAAGACACGAACTGATACAAAAAGGATTGAGCTAGGGCTTAAGTGGTAGGGCACCTGCTTAGCTCTGACTTCAAACCCTAGTACTACCAAAAACAGAGTAAATCATTAAAACAAAAAGCAAATGGTCATACACAGAGATAATTCGCAATTAGGAAGCAATTTGTGTTCGGCTATACCATTCTCCCCACTAACCAGTAGCTTTTACAATTAACAGATACAAAGTACACATTCATATGTATACTCTATGTACATAGACTTTAGAGGAAGACCACATGGATTCTTTGAGACAGAAATCACATATTTACCCAATATTGTCTGAGATACTTGTGGATGGGGTGTGGTTTTAGGTTTGGGACGTAGACGACGGGGTTTTTTTGTTGTTGGAGCTGAAGGGAGAAAAATTAGGATTAATATATAATTTTCCATTAACTCTGGTGTTGATGATATAGTTCTATGTTTTCTAAAACTTAGTAGTTCGATTTAGGAAAAAATTGTCACTTAGGTTTAAATTTTTCTTCAGTGTATTAATATGTTTTCTCTAATCATTGAGAGCTTTCTAGGGACAAAAATTTCACATATAATTATGTATAAGAACTATCTATATTTTCTTCAATGTACCTCAAACCCAAAACTAATCACAAGACATTTCTCAAGTCTAGTGTGAGAGAGGTTCCAAGTAATCCTGGCATGTTCACTTAGAGTGTTAAGATGACAAAACCTGAGAAAATTCTCCACTTGGTTTTTTACAAAAATAAATGTATAAAATTCACCTAAACATTGGCAAAGTAAAAAATAGCTATGCAGCATTGGATATGTGGAAAGTAAGTTGTATCAATGGTCTACCTAAGATGAGAAATCATGATTGTATTTTGACTGTAACAAAGAATACTATTCAAATAGGACAAGCCATTATTTCAAGATGGGATATTGAGCATGTACCCAGCTGTGTTAAGTCCAGGCACATTTCTGTTAAAAAGAAGACCTTCAACATTTAAGATGACTTAACAAAACAGACCACAGCAGAGAATTACATCATGATCTAGCACCATCACAAAGCTCAAAATGATTAAAAAGAAAAAGCACTTGCTAAAGGATATGAAGAATCATTACCTAAAGATGGCCCAGGAGTAAGAGGTCCAAGATCTGGCACAAAAAAATAATCAAAAGCAATTTTTTTAAAAAGAAAAGAAAATGTTAAATGCACAAGAAAAGCCATCAAATCCTCCTGAAAATGAACTTTACCAAGCTAGCATTAGTTCTCCAGCCAAAAAACAAAATTTAAAATTCTTATGACATAGTTATGTCCTTAGCATCTTTACATAAATAACTGCAAGTTTTGCTCATTTTTATATGATCTGATAATACAATAAAAACACTTAGGCAGTCTTTTTACAAAAGAATATAAAATATAATTTATAACACTGTAGACTGGAAAGCAAAGTCATAGGTCATGAAAACTGAAATGACTGAATAATCAAAATAGAGAATGGTCATTTTGTTGTTGTTGTTCTTTGGAAAAAGACCAAGACCTTTATTCCAACAAAGGTATACAAAAAACTAGATATAGAGAAGCATTTGACCATGGAATGTGTTACTGTATCTCTATTACCAGGACAGAAAAGGCTTGATTCTGAAGCGTAGGAGGACATGCCAAATGGTTCAAATGAAATAATTGAAGTTGGATAATCAAGGTCCACTTTGTTGGCCTTCCAAAAATAGCATTACTGTCCAGCTAAGTTAATGCCGTCTTCTTCATAGTTAGGTTGCAAATCTACTTCCTATTCTTTTTACTGTCAAATGCACGTCATTTTTCTCCCTGTTTATATAATTCTTGCCCATCCTACTAACAAAGCTACAAATTTCTAATTTTCACATTGTATGTATATAATATACATGAATATACATGTATAATACATATGTATATACATTATACATACATTATGTATATGCGCATATAATTATATACATATGTATATACATTATACATGTATGCATATATATGTAACTATATACATATATAGACATTTGTGGAAACTATGTACTATAGACTATACATACTATATAATATATATCAGCCATAACTTTTTTAATTCTCTAAGAAATTAGCTGTGTGCCTAACAATTGGTAAAACTTAATAAACATTGCTTGTTGTCCACATTTCTTGTATCTTTTTAGGAATAGCTGTAACAAGAGCAACTTCCTTTCTCAACTAACCTTAACTAAATATCTTTTGTTTTTACTGTGTTCCTCACAAATGCAAATGTGGCATTTAGTCGGATGTGTAACTGCTTGAATCACATATACTAGCTAGCTGTAGTTTTGCTCATCTAGAATCAAAGAACAAAATGTTACTGTATGTCAGAAAAACAACAAAATACTCAGGCACAAAGAAATCCTCATATGAACAGCATGAGAAAGCCAAAGGGATCAGTCAGAGCATTGTGTTAGTAGTAGAAGCTTTCTGTGACCCAGGTCTTTCCCTTTAAGGACTGACTACAAGGTTATTCAGTAGCAAGTTAAGCCTATATCCCGTGTCATATCCAATGTGGACCAATAGGAACCAGGAACCACATATTTACCTGGTATAGGCTGAGGTATTTTGGGGCTTGGAGTAGTTTTATGTTTGGGACGTGGACGACGAGTTCTTGCTCGTTGGGTTATTGTTGGAGCTAAAGAAAGGAAACTGGTTATTTTAGTCATATGACTCCAGAAACTGGAGAAATAATTGTACATGGCCCTAGGCTTTCCTTATTTTTCCTAGTTTACTTGAGTCTCAAGAAAAAATGGTCCCTTGCAAAGTTTCTTCTGGCCATATATATGAGAAAATGATAGATTGCATACGCTTATTATTTTGAAAACTTTATTATTAGTTGCTGACAGCAGATTCTCAAAGAAGGTCCAGCTCCAACCAGAGTTTGACATATAATATGTCAGTATCACCTCCGAGACACATAGCCTACCCTGTTTTTTGAATTATGTCTTTGGAAATTACTTGGTTTAGGCATAAGATCCATCAAAATTATTACAAAAAGTACTTTTAATTTCCTAGATTCATGTATACATAACAAAATGTTCTGTACATTTTTAAAACAAAATAAAAAAGAAAAGCAAATGCCCACAGAATTATAGTTGATATTTAAGAAATAGGCATTCCTAATTTTTTTTGGGGGGGGGGTCTGGTCGTGGAGCCTGAACTCTGGGCCTGGGCACTGTCCCTCAGCTCTTCAGCTCAAGGCTAGAGCTCTGTCACTTGAGCCACAGCACCACTTCCGGCTTTTTTATTTTTTTTTTGCTTATGTGGTGCTGAGGAATCGAACTCAGGGCCTCAGGCATGCAAGGCAAGCACTCTACCACTGAGCCACCTTCCCAGCCCCAAAGTTGTTGTTGTTTTTTTGTTTGTTTTGTTTTTTGGTTGGTCGTGGGGCTTGAACTCTGGGCCTGGGTGCTGTCCCTGCACTCTTCAGTTCAAGGCAAGCGCTCTACCGCTTGAGCTACAGTGCCACTTCCGACATTCCTAATTTTATATGAAGTTTAGCTTTAACATAAAGACCATTACTGGAGTAGAATCATGGACTTTATAGAATGAATGTAGTGAAGCTGGACAATATTGGAGATAGTCTGTACTAGCAACTTAAACTAAGGGGTGTGTTTAAGCACTTTTAATACATTCCTAACACGACATATCCTTGTATGACAAATGAGGCTGATAAGAAAATCTTTGAAAGAAAACAATCATTGACTCAGATAGTGATGGAACAGACAATGAGAAGAATGTCGCATGTGCTTAACAACATAAATGGCCATTACCTAGAGTTGTCAGTGGAGACTCAGTTCTCACAATTACAGGTTCACTGTCTGCGCTAGAAACTGACCAAAAGCAGATAAGAAACAACAGAGATTAAGAAATATATAAAATAAAGTTATCTTGAAAATGAATCTTCTTTGCCCATTTATATTTGAAAAATACTTTTGAATTCTGGGGAAATAGTGTTTATTACCACTGGCCATATTCTTGCACCCATTTATCTCACAAAATCCACCATATAGGTATACCATTTACACCACGAATAGCTAGAAAGCTAGTAAAAATTATTTTTCTGGGTTTGCTAATCTCATTGTACCCTTTATTCAAAATCAGACTCCAAGAAAATTGCTTGATTTTCCTATACATTATTTTAAATTATGCTAAACACTGTTATTAAAAATTCTGCTGGCATGTAAATGGCTCTAGCCACCATTATTGATTTTTTTAAGGAGTGGTAGTTGTGGAAAGAATTAGAAAATATTTAGTTTATTTACTAAGGATCTGTGATAGCTGAGTGAAGGTAAATTTGTGCCTTTTCTTCATGATAAATGAGATATTGCTGCTTACTATTTTTCCTTACGAACTCACATCATAGATAAGAAGTACATAATTATCTGAGTGAGGAATAGAGATGAAGGGCTGGTGTGTAGCTCAGTAGTAGAGAATGTGCCTACCATTCATAAGGGTCTGGATATAATCCTCAGCAACACACACACACACACACACACACACACACACACACGCACATGCACACGCACGCACACACACACACACACACACACACACACACACACACGCACACATACAGAGAAACAAGGATGATTAAGAAAAACACCTGAAAGACACTAATGCAATTTTCTGTCTGATCTTGAAAAGCAGAATTTCTACTCTTCTATAACATTCTGAAATGACTCTGCATAGATATGAAATTAAATTAAGAATTATGATTCTGGTATTAAATTATCATTGCCTTTTTCCATTAAAATCTAGAAGATTTATGTAATTTCCAAGTTTATCATCACCAAAAACCCTTCAAACACTTCTACAGAGACAAACTCCACTGACTCTTCAAGTCAGCATGGCGCAACATTGATTTAAGCCACATATGAGAGCATCATCTGAACTGGTAACACACGAAACCAATGGAGCCAGACAAGATGACACGATGAAAACCGATAGCTCTCAAACAAAAATAGGGCTTCCCTATCTTGTTTGGAATTTCATGTCACCAAGCAAATTTATGGACAGGAAGATTCAGCTGCATTTGAGCAGTATTGAGCAGACATTGATGAGCTATCCTTGAAAGCTCCAGCCAACCAGCTCTTTCACTGCCACCTTCCCGTATTCAAAAGCTGTATGTACACTAGAGGTTGCAGAAGTTCTGTGGTTTGAAAGATGGATGATCAAAGCACACATGACTCTTAATAGTTGTCAAGTACTATAAGCAAACTGAATACACTTGAAGGGGACCAAAGGAAGCATAATTCTCAGATGTTATAGGATAGAATGGCTAAGTTGATGTTAAAAATGGCCTCTATTGAAGACAGTAAATAATTTTTAGAAACAAAATGAAATAGAATTACAGTCTTACGTGGGAGAAACATATAGATGAAAGGAAGAAGAGATGAGGGGACACACTCAGAGAAAGAGGGACCAAGAAGGTATTGTTACCTATGGCGACAGATGGAGCTTCAGTCTCAAATGCAATAGGCTCAGAGACTGCATCATAAGAAAAGAAACAAAAGCAAATGGAAAAACTTGGAAAAAATTATATTAAGTGAAGTAAGCCAGGCCCAAAGAAACATAGGTCCCATGGTTTCCCTTATTTGCAATATCTAGTATATGTATGAGTCAAGCAGAAAAGGTCAGATAATGTGATGTCAGGAAAATGAACCCTTAGATGTGTATTTTAATGTTTTTTTTCTTTCATGCATGTGTTTCTAACACATTTATAAGATTATCTCTTTGTTGCTTTGTATGTCCCTCCTCCACAGTATAACCCCTGCTTTCACTATATTTGATGTCAGTATAACTTGTGGAGGAGATGGGGAAAAACCAGTTGTTTAAGGATACAGGTGGACCTGTTGCAACAATGAGAAGTACAAGTTGTCATGTCCAAAACGAGCTTTACAACATTGGTGGGGGGGGGGGGGAAGGAGAAGGATTGGGATTAGGGGGGGAGGGGGGAGGCTGGGAAGGGATGTGAAGGATAACAAAGGAGGAGGCTGCAATGCTTGGTAAGAAATGTACGCATTATCCTGCCCATGTAACTGTAACTCCTCTGTACAGTATGTTCACAAATAAAATTAAATTTAAAAAAAAAAAAAAAGAAAAGAAACAAAAGCAACAAAAGTCAAGTGACTTTTAAATGTTCAGTGTCCAATTTAGAGAACCCAGAATCTAGTTTATTCTTAGTTGATATAAATTGTTTTCTTGTAGGTGTATAAGAAACGGTCACTTAGCAAGTTAGAATTTTATACTAATTGGAATCCCAGGAAAAATTTTCAGTTGCAAAACAGTTGAATTTTCAGAGCTGTTATGTAAATAACTTATGTGGTAGAAAAGTCACTGTTAATAATTATAAGTTAAAATTCTCTTAGGAAATTTAGAGACGCTAATACCTAGCCAGCACATCTTTCTTTAGTCGTTCCTATTAAGGAAGTCCAAGTGTCAACCTTCTGGCTTACTGCCCAGTGGCAATTACCAAAATACAAGCTGGACTACCATTAATTACAGCCTAAAAATTCTTTAGGAAAATACAATATCCCACACATGGACTTCTTCATTTAGTACTTAAAATATAGTTGTGGTTACTTTGAGAAGACAATGAAAAATCATAATATTTCAGTTCAATGATGTATAACTTATAGAAACTATGATCGCAACATGTTCTATAAAATTTCCAGAGGAGAAAACGGTTGTTAAGCTAAGGTATTGGAAATTATGTTTACCAGATTTAGTTGGTAGCGTATCTGGTTTTGCTGTGATTGTGGACTTAGGGGGTAATTGCTTTGGTGGTTCTGAAACTGAGGAGAAAAAAGGGTGCTATAATTAGTGTCATAACTGAACTGCAAATATGAAGATTAACATTACTTACACATAGTTTCCCTACTTATGGATCAAGATACTGAAAACAGTGATTACCCGGCTGGATTTGGGGTACATCAGGTCTGTGTGTGATCTGAGGTATCTTGGATGGTTTGGGTGCTAAAGAAAAAAGTATTGAAATTAGTATAATAGTCATAGCTACGACTGTCAAAACTAAGGACATTTAGTTGAGAAAACACAGTATAAATTCAATAAATATATAAAAATTAATTCCTGGCGTGTAAGAAATTGCATTGTTAGTTTTCCCTGGAAGAAAAATGTTTCAAGAAATGCTTAAAATGTGTCTTTAAACAAAAGCAATTAGAAATGTCATAAGATGTTTCTTCTTTGGTAGATCATTTAAAAACAAAGCATATTAGTTCTATTTTTTCACTAGTAGATTTTCTTTGGTACAAAACAGATAAAAATTAAAATTTAAGGATGCTTAAGAAGCGATTGTCAAGTAACGCATCACTTAGTATCTATCATACATGATTAATATTGTTACATGAACACTGATTTGGAGGAATTTTAAAAATGAGCAGACGTTTCAATGAAATAATTATAATATCAGTATTATTACTACTACTAATAAAACCATCTTTGGACTTTCAGTGTTCTCAAGCTGTAAAGATCACCACTAGTTTTATACTGAACACTAGATCAAGAATAACCTCTGGTTAATGAAACATATGCAAAAGCATTTTTCAAGGAAATGGAAGTGCAGAAGCCATTATTCATGTAGCTTTTTAGAGAAAGTCTTACAAGTTATGTGCATAAATGAAATTATATTCCCACAGCACAGGAAAAAAGTGTACACCAGTTGTTCAGTCCAGGATGAGCGTAGATGTCCCTAAGGAAAAGTTGATGGATTTCTTTTCTCCCAACAGGTCATGTGTTTGAAGCATGGAATGACTTTTGTGATGAGGTGGCAGAAATGTAGTCATGCCTGAGGTAGAGAGTGTGAAAAGCAAAAGTGACAAGCTACCAAAGCAACCAGAGGGGATAGAATTACCGATTGTGGGTACCATAAGCTCCAACTGTACTGTGGTGAGTTCCAGAGCTATAGAAGAAAAAAAAAAATCAAGAGCACTAATTATATCAAGAATTGGCAGGAACAGGAAGCAAACTTTGAATCTCAAGTTAGGATACTCTTGTACTTTTCTGATGACAATTTCCCTTTTATTTCTCACAACTACCTTTTTTGCCCCATTGCTTTCTAACAACTTTTCTATTATGAATATTTTCCAAATGCAAGCCTTTAAGGTGCCTTTAATAATTCACCTTGTATACCAGCTTTCCATTTGGTGTATGTACTAAAAATAAAAATAAGAAAACATATCTAAAGTGGATTTAGAAAATGTGTGTAGATGCTGAAATGTAAAAATCAACTGTGTTGGCTCCTAAAACCCAGATGCTTTAATAGCTAGGTAATAGCTTTTCAAACACAAGCTACCACATTCGGCTTCCCATGTTCTCAGGGATCCTGAATATTGTTACATTTACCAGGTTTGGACTTGGGCACATCTGGACTACGTGTGGTTTTAGGGCGGTGTCGACGACCCGGTCTTGTGGTTTTAGGGTGGTGTTGACGACCCGGTCTTTTGGTCTTTGGTGGAGCTGAAGAAAGAAAATTAGCTAGTTAATATAGGAAATGTAGCTCTATAACTGTCAATAAGTGTTACATGTGACTTAAATGCACAATTAAGCCATTTGAGTTGTTGTAGACATGCCTGTTGTTTTTTTCAACTTTCTCTCATTACCCATTAACATAAGATCTTGACGTTTTTTTGGTTAAAGTTCTATAAACTGTCCAAGAGATCATATTATTATTCCATGTTGAGATGGAAAATTTCATACAGAAGTGACAGACACAAAGGTTTGGAGGTGGGCGCTAAAGGAAGCATGAGGAAGTTTGCTTCTGAGGAGTCACTAGGAATGCAAGTTTGAGTTTATTTGGCATACCATTTCAAAGGAGAACTTATTCAATTGTTTAAAATACCTACTATCACCAATATATGCAAAAGACTTAGAATTCAAACACTATTTTAGGGGAGAAAAAAATTTAGATTGTGTAGTGCAAAATATATAATGTATGTATACTATGCACATATTTATATATACTTATACAATATATTTATATACATATATATATTTCCAGAAGAACAGAGAACAAAATACAAGTGACATTAACACATTAATGTACAATGGGAGTCTGTCAAGAAAGATACCAGCAGTTAAAAAAGAAGGAAACAAGAATCACCCTCTGGATTGGGTGGGGGTTGGGGGAGGCAGGGAAGGGATGGGAAGGGGAATCAAAGGAGGAGGTTACAATGCTTGATAAGAAATGTACTCATTATCTTGCCCATGTAATTGTAACCCCTCTGTACAGTATTTTCACAATAAAAAAAATAAATAAAAAAAGAATCACCCTCTGATAATTTTATAACCCATTGCTGTTATTGAAGGTTTAGTTGCCAGTGTTCCAGGTCCTGAGACTACCTAAGAAACCACCAAAAAGGAATTAAATTGAAAAGCAACATGACAAAATGTATTTAAATGTATATGGGGCTGCTAAATTATTTACTAGGGTAAAAAATACAAAAAATGAAATTTTGCCAACAAAAGTACTACCTTTTCTACTTAAACTGATTCCCATGTGTTTAGACAAAGTGAATAACAATGCAGTCAATTAAGTTTAGAAAGAGAAATGGAAAAAGAAGGCATTTCTTTTTTGGAAGATGTGAATATAATAAAATAACAAGCAGTTCATATTATGAAGGAAAATATGGGTAATTGGCTAAGGTGGTACTCAGACACAGTTTTTTTTTTTCTTTTAGAAGAGAAAAAGCTATAAATATTGGTAGGTTTTAGTTCTTTTTCTCTTTCCATCTATTAATGGATTTCCTAGTGGCACATCATGGTATTTAGATCACATTGCTTTTCAAGAAAATCTGCAAATGGTTTGAAAGTTTTGAAAGTAAGAAAAACATATTGTAAGTGCAAATATGCCTTGGGGAAGCCAAGACACTCCACTGGAAATAACCGGGTTAGAACAAATTAAGGACAAATTCCTCAAACACAAGGCAGATCAATAAAGAATGTGTCAAATCAAAATCAGGGTAGTTTCTGTGTGTGTCTACAGACTTCTCTTCAGTCAGGCACCAGCACAGAGTAGTATTCTGACAAAAGAATCACTGTAAAAAGAGAGCTGAAGAATAATTAAGGAATATTTTATAGGTAAACCAAATCAAAAGATGTGGATACTAGAAGGGGTGAAAGGTCATTCTTTCTGATTAAAGGAAGCTTCATTACCTTTTGTTGATTGTGATGGTGGAAGAGTCTGAGGTTCTGGAGCTGCAATAAAAGCAAGTCAGATGAAAAGCAACGCTGAATTCATCCACAGATACGCTAACCCTTCCAGCATAGCACTGCCAGAATCTCTAGGCTTCTTGCTCAAATATGCTCTTCAAGTTGGAGTTTTTTTCATTTTTGTTTTTCTAAGAGACATTTGCCATGGTCAACTATATTCTCCTTGCTAATTACTAATTTCCTTCATTTTGACACCTGCCTCTTCAAAAGGAGCAGAATTTTTTTTTTTAAATATAGTTACAGTTTTCCTCCTTGCCCATTTCATTGCAAAACTAAACCAGGCTTACTTAAGCAAAAAAAAAAAAAAAACCCACAAAACTCTTGTTTTAAAAATCCTGCTTTGGTTGGGGCTGGGAAGGTGGCTCAATGGTAGAGAGCTTGCTTTGCATGCCTGAGGCCCTGGGTTCGATTCCTCAGCACCACATAAGCAAAAAGAAAAAAGCTGGAAGTGGCACTGTGGCTCAAGTGGTAGAGAGCTAGCCTTGAGCTGAAAAGCTGAGGGACAGCACAGGCCTAGAGTTCAGGCCTCACGACCGGACCCCCCCCCACCACCAAAAAAAAAAAAATCCTGCTTTGGAAACAGGCTATTAAGGGAAACACATATGTAGGATTCTTCAAGCTGAGAGTGAGAAACATCTGCTTAGAGCCAAGGGCTGAAAATTTAGATAATAATGACAACAAGGAGTGACAAAATTCCTAAAAATCAACATCTGTATAAATTCTGCATAGATTTAAATCTGAGAGAGAGATAAAAGAAGAATCTCTTCCTGTAAAACAGACTTCTTTTTTGTTTTTGTTTTGAAGTATACCATTAGTAAAATCTCCTGAGAGGGAAGCAGATGCCAGTGTACAGAGATTATCTCCAATTACAAATTCTCAGAGCATTAGAAAAATCTCGCCATTCTGGTCTTACAGCCTGAGAATGGAGGAGCCCCAACACAAGCAGAATTCTTAGAAGATGGAAACACTTCTTCCCCTTCCAGCTGAAAGGCCATTACTCAGAGCAATCAGAATTCCACTCAACTTTGGTATTGGAAATTATTTGAAGTCCTAGACAAGGGGGTCCTCAATCTCCTGGCTGTATTTTTGTGTTTTCTCTGTGATGGTCACGAACATAATGATCCTTCACACAGCTCACAGCAGCACTGTGATCATATCAAAGGCCTGACTGAGATGAGATCATCTTATTGCATTTTCACACTTGCCCTGGAAAATGTATCACATACTAACATACAGATCAGAAGCTCTTGCACCATAAGAGTTGCATAACACAAATGTCAACCCCTACTTCTGGAATACTGAAAACAACTTGAGGGTAAATTACCAGTTGTTTATGTCATGGGTGGGGGTAAAAGAGAGAGATTTTAACATTCAAAGAAATTGTGTTCTACTGGGAGTTGGAACAATAAAGAAACAAAATAATCAACAAATCAGTATTAAGGAATTTTAATATTTAAAACCCAGGAATCTTGATAAGAAATGTATTCATTACCTTGCTCATGTAATTGTAACCCCTCTGTAGGGTATTTTCACAATTAAAAAAACTTATTAATAGAAAAATAAATAAATAAAACCCAGGAAGGTGTAAAGCTAAATTATATGTTAAGTGGAAAGAATATATCATCCTGGAAGTTCTGAAAATATCCCATTAAAAGGATATTTCCTGTTTCATTTACAGAGAAGTATTTCATGAAAATAATAGAATATGTACACATATTGGAAGGCCTGTATTTCTAATTGAGTCTTCCTTGGAGCTTCTGTACAACATTATAGAGTCTTGACTTTTAGAATATTATTTTGAATTTTGATTGTCATGTCTTATCCTGACATGATGATGAGCAGCTTGAAGGGTGTCTTCTGCAAAACTGGAAGCATAGCAGGCAACAACAAAGAAGCTGCCGACCCCTCAGACGCTTAAATAAAGGTGCAGACCAAAAAAAAATGTGTGGTGCTCTATGTCTCACTTTATGATGCCGTGGCAACATCCCAAAACTCATAGGCAAAAAAATACTATGCAATTTCCAGTAAAATCTTACTAGAGTCATTTCATTTCTGTTTGAGACTGCTACTCATTTCAAACTTCATAAAGAATCTACTTGATAGAATCATACAATTACTTATAAGAGATGAGCATGATCTAATTGGAATTAAATATCCTGAAAGGTTTAGGAGGAATTTATTTACTAGGTTTGGTTCTTGTTGCTTTGGGTCTGGGGCGATGTTTAGGTGTAGAAGGGGTGGATATAGTCTGCTGGGGAGCTGAAAGAAGATTTAATATAGCTTTGGTAAGTGGTATTTCTCAACGACTGTCCCTATAAATGGATAATCTGCTTAAGTGCAAGAATGACTTCATTATTCTTTGTATTCCTAGAATGGCCAACACTATGCTTTCTATATAGTAGACATCCAAATGAGTATTGACCTGATCCAAATAGATTAAAATTCTACATGAGAAGTGAGGAATATACTACTCAATTAATTGTATTAGAAAATGAGCACCTTGGCCATTTCAGATACAAGGTACAACTAAGAACTCAGAAGGATAATATTCAGTAGTGGACAAACACAAATCAAATAACCTAAATTTAGAGAAAGCTCAGAATTCATTTAATTTGTGGTTCACTCTTATCTTCACCAAGCACAATAAACTCTACTACTGACATAACTTTATGTTATAGACTGTGAGTTATTACCTCTTTTTTGCATCTCTTTCTTCATCATATCCAGCAAGGATCTCAGAACCTACTAGGTACTGTTTATGTTTGGACTACACTGGATAAAATACTCTGATCAAGTCATATCTAAATGGATTCAATAAAAGAGAATATATTTCTAGAATAATGTATCATGTATACTTCAGCTGCTATTCTCTGGGTGATAATGTTGAAAGATTGACAATGGTGAAAGAAATAAAAACTATTTTTCAAAATACATAAGCATCAGGATTATGGAAACTCTGAGTTTTATAAGAAGGTATATGAGATAACTCAGTTCTGTAAAGAATTTCATGGTGGAGAATAAAGGGGAATGTTCGGAAAAGGTCAACAATGTCTCCTTTCTATCACTTTACCTGTTCTTTCAAAGTGTACAATTAAACCAAGATCATTAGTTACCAGGTGTTGTAGGTTTCATTTCATGACTGGGAAATGTTTCCACTTTTTGAGAAGCAAATGGTACTTCACTTGGAGCTGAAAGCAAAAACACCCCACCCCACCAAATAAATTAAAATGAGGTATTTTAAGAATTTTAACATGCTTTTGGATGGCACGATGCACATGCTACATGATTAGGGATGAAAAGTGCCTGTGGCTTTGCAAGCAGATGGATGAAATGAAATGGGGAAAAGTTAGAATATTAAATGTTCAGTAGCTGGCTCCAGGTCGACTCCCGAGGTACACACAAGTGAAATGACATAGGCCACAGACAGGAGAGGAGAGGAGGGGATTTGGATAATGAGGTCCATGCAGTTTTCAAAATCTTTTACAACGTTGAAGATGAGGGAAATATCATCTCTTACAGTTCAGGACATAAGAGATAGACAGACACACATCACAATAGAATTTAAAAGATAACTACATTAAAAATATACCTTAGGCATATATTCAGACAAAGTAGAAAGAAAGTTTTAGACATGATGGGAAAAGGCATTCACATGGATTATGGATTTTTTTATAAATGGGAAACAAAGCACATTAAAAAAAATATTACCCAATGTTGTTGCCCTTGGCTGTTCAAGAGTTCTAGAAGTTTCAGGTGGGACAGATTTCAGAATAGGATCACTTGTTGCTGTAGGAATAAATGCCAACATTTATAAAAGAAGCAGAGATCCCCCAGGAATAAAATACAAATTCATGAGCAATAAATTATCTCATATAGGAGGAAAAATATCAAGAACACTTGAGGGGTTGCTGACCAATAACACTTTTAAATCAGTGATTCATCAGGAGGCAAAGATGAGCTCACCTTGAAAACCATACATACTTAAAAGATCAGAAACAATGACCAAACAATGCTCCATACACACCCTTTTCTTCCCTTCTCTTTCATAACTGCTAACTGAACCCATTTTCATTTCCACTTTTCTTATCTTTTGCTATTTAAAATTGTTCACCTCTATTCAACATGGCACAAATAATACTGACAGAATGTGACACACAGACGCATGTATCTGCCTCTGGCAGATACCACTATTCCCTTGGAATCTCCCATCATATTTTAATTTGCTGAAAGGGACTGTTGGGAGTGAGTTAAACTCATTGTATATGCATTAGGAAGTAGAGGCTAAAGATGGAACCCATATGACCTTCTGTAGATAGATCATGTCTGTCCTAAGAATTTTCCACCACCACACTATTGAAGATCAAAGGCAGATCATTTTGTTGTGGTGGTGGTAGTGGGAAGTTCTGCCCTGTGATTGCAGAGGTGTGGCAGCATCCCTGGTCTCTGTGAATCAGATGCCACTGGCATCTACCCCCTACCTGTGACAACCAGATATTTCTCCCAATGTTGCCAAATGTTCCTTGTGGGGAGAAAGGGTTCCCAAATAACCCCCATTTGGGAACCACTACTCTACAGAAAACAGCCAAGAAGCTAAAATCTTTTTACAATGAATAGTAGAATGGTAGGTCAGTATATTACTTTCTGCCAGTGGCATCTGCATCTCCCTCAGGGGACAGAACTCATTTTCTGATGAAAGTAAAGTACTCTTTTTCTGGCAGCCAAGGGTAGAATTCATTTCCTTGACACTGAGAGGTATCTACATCTCCCCTGTGGAGCTCCAGAGAGCATCCTCTGCAGAAGCTAAGCGATTTCCTGACATTCTGGTGCTGGGTGAATGATTGTTTCGCCCAGGTTCAAGTGGATTTTGGTGTTCTGCTGCAGTTAGCCATCACCGGTCCCATGTTAGCTTGGGCTTTATGGCTCTGAGCTACAAGAATGTATACAGCTTCTGGAGTAATATGAACACACAGGTATGTATTCACAATGAAGCAATGCCAACTCTGAGTCTAAGAGCTTCAATGACTATAATAATACACAAAGTTTGATTTTCTAGAGAAAGAAAAATGGCAGCCCCATGCAGGCTATATGCCCAGTGTTACAGCTTCAGAATTTCTGGTAAGCATAAAGCATCATATCTTCCAAGCTGACATATCTTACTTTAGAGTTTGCACAGCGTCTTAAGCTAGATCAACTTTTTTTAACCTTATTAATACTGCTGAGAAATAGGTGAGGTAGGCCTTGCTCTCAGTTTTCATACTGAATAGTGTACTTGACATTTATAGCAATAAAGACAATCACCAACAGTCACGTGTTGGAATGATCAAGTCCTATGCATTTTTTCCAGTCCCATCAGCAGGACCAGAAATAACAGGATGAAAACCAGGACCCTCGCCAAACAATGGAACACCCAAATTTATCCAAGAAACACTACTTGCTTTCAAATCCCACATAGATCCAAAGACATTCATTGTTGGGGACTTTAACACAGCACTCTCCCCACAAGATAGATCAACTCAGCAAAAACTCAACAGAGAAACCGCAGATCTAAACAACTACATAGATCAACTAGATTTAACAGAAATCTACCAAATATTTCACCCAGCAGCATTAGAATACACGTTTTTCTCAGCAGCACATGGAACATTTTCCAAAATAGACCACATTTTAGGTCACAAAGCAAACTTGTCCAAATTCAGAAAACATTGAAGTTATACCTTGCATTCTCTCAGACCATAAGGGAATAAAACACTAGAACTCAACACTAAAAGCCACCAAAGAAAGTACTGAGGCTGAACAACACACTGCTGAATCATGAGTGGGTCATGGAAGAGATTAGAAAGAAAATTCAAATGTTCATAATATTCAACAAAAATGAGCACACAAATTATCAGCTCCTCTGGGACACAGCTAAGGCAGTACTCAGAGGCAAGTTTATAGCTCTGAGTTTCTACATCAACAAATTAGAAAGACCTGAAACCAACAATTTAATGAGACATCTGAGCCTCCTTGAAAAAGAGCAGCAAGATAAACCCCAATCCAGTAAACAGAAAGAAATAATTAAAATTAAATCAGAATTAAACGAATTAGAATCCAAAATAACATAGAAAGAATCAACAAAATTGACAAGACCCTTAGCAAATCTTACCAGAAAAAGAAGAGAATACACCCAAATAAATAAACTCAGAGATGAGAATGGAAACATCACCACAGAAACAACCAAGATTCAGAACTTTACAAGGGAATACTTCTCAAAACTTTATGCTAATACACTGGAGAACTTGGCAGAAATGGACCTTTTCCTAGCAAATATTGACATGCTGAAACTAAACCAAGATAACTTAAACCATCTTAACAGGCCCACATCAAGCACTGAAATAGAAACAGCAATAAGAGACCTACCATCTAAGAAAAGCCCAGTACCAGATGGTTTTACAGTGGAATTCTACAAGGCCTTCAATGCAGAGTTCACACCAATACTCCTCCAACTCTTCAATGAAATTGAAAGAGAAAGTTCACTACTGAACTCATTCTATGAAGCCATCATAACCCTCATCCAAAAACCAAGCAAGGACTCATCAAAGAAAGAGAACTATAGACCCATTTCTTTGATGAACATTGATGCAAAACTTCTCAACAAAATTCTGGCCAATCGACTTCAACAATTCATCCAAACAATCATACACCACCATCAAACAGGATTCATTTCAGGGATGCAAAGCTGGTCCAATATACACAAATCAATTAATATAATTCATCACATCAACAAGAGCAAGGATAAGAACTACATAGTTATCTCAATAGATGCAGAATATGACAAACCTACAGGCAGCATTATACTTAATGATGAAAAACTAAAGCCATTTCCTCTTACCTCAGGAATGAGACAAGGATGTCCACCTTCTCCACTTCTCTTCAATCTACTATTAGAATGTCTAGCTACAGCAATAAGACAAGATGCAAACATAAAGGGGATCCAAATAGGGAAAGAAGAGGTAAAACTCTCCCTCTTTGCAGATGACATGATCTTGTATTTAAAAAATCCCACGGACTACACTCCCAAATTACTCAAGCTGGGCTGGGAAGGTGGCTCAGTGGTAGAGTGCTTGCCTTGCATGCTTGAGGCCCTGGGTTCGATTCCTCAGCACCACATAAGCAAAAAGAAAAAAGCCGGAAGTGGCACTGTGGCTCAAGTGGTAGAGCGCTAGCCTTGAGCTGAAGAGCTGAGGGACAGCGCCTAGGCTTAGAGTTCAGGCCCCACGACCGGACCCAACAAACAAACAAACAAACAAAAAAACCCACCAAATTACTCAAGCTGATTCAAAACTTTGGCAAAGTAGCAGCGTATAAAATTAACCCTTAAAATCAATGGCTTTTCTGTATGCCAACAATGAGAAAAGTGTGGCTGAAATTAGGAAAGCAACTTCATTGGTAATAGCCACACACAAAAAAAATACCTAGGAATTAACTTAACCAAAGAAGTGAAGGACCTCTATGATGAAAACTTTAAAAAACTGAAAAAGGAAATCAAAACAGAACTTAGAAAGTGGCAAAAACCCCCATGCTCCTGGATTGGAAAGATCAACATCGTGAAAATGGCAATACTTCCCAAGGCTATCTACAAATTCAGTGGGATACTTATCAATATTACAACCTTATTCTTCAGGGAAATAGAAGAGGCAATCCAAAAATTCATATGGAACAACAAAAGACCCCAAATAGCTAAAATGATCCTCAACAGAAAGAACACTGCTGGAGGAATATCAATACCAAATTTCAAACTCTACTACAAAGCCATAGTAATCAAAACAGCTTGGTACTGGCACAAGAACAGACCTCAGGACCAATGGAGTAGAATTGAAAACCCAGAAATGAACCTACAGACCTATAGCCATCTAATCTTCGATAAGGGAGCTAAAAAATAGAATGGAAGAAAGATAGCCTCTTCAGTAAATGGTGCTGGCAAAATTGGTTAACTACTTGTAGAAAACTAAAGCTAGATCCTTCTGTATCACCCTGCACCAGAATCAACTCCAAATGGATCAAAGACCTCAGAGTCAAAGCAGACACTCTGAAAACATTACAGGATGGAATAGGAGAAACCCTAGGTCTCCTTGGCACAGGCCGAAATCTTCTTAATAGAGACCTAGAAACACAACAAATCAAAGAAAGGTTGGACAAATGAGATTGCATGAAGCTGCAGAGCTTCTGCATGGCAAAGGACATAGCTAGCAAGATCAATAGAAAGTCCACGGATTGGGAGAAGATCTTCACTAGCCATACAACGGACAAGGGTCTCATATCTAAAATATACCTGGAACTCAAAAAAATTAAATCCCCCAAAAAACAAATCCTCAAAGAAACAACTGCTCAATAAATAAGTGGGCTAAAGACTTAAAGAGAAACTTCTCTGAAGAGGAAAGAAGGATGGCCAATAGACACATGAAGAAATGCTCAACCTCTCTAGCCATAAAAGAAATGCAAATCAAAACATTGAGATACCACATCACCCCAGTTAGAATGGCTATAATCAAGAACCCTAATTATAACAGATGCTGGAGGGGATGTGGACAGAAGGGAACCTTACTTCATTGTTGGTGGGAATGTAAACTTGTTCAACCACTTTGGAAAGCAGTATGGAGGTTCCTCAAAAGACTCCACATAGAGCTCCCCTATGACCCAACAATCCCACTTTTGGGCATTTACCAAAATGTTCACAAACAAGACCACACTAAAGCTACCAGCACAACTATGTTTATTGCAGCATTATTTACTATAGCTAAGATATG